TCGTCGTTGTTTGATTATTCGTTAATTGCATGGCGTTGTCAACACCTGGGATCTTGTAATGAATAATTTTAATTTTTAACACACTACCCTGGAAATGATAAAATATTGATGAGTAAAAGAAGTCTGGCTTTTTAATTTATTTAACGATCCTGTTTCAGCTGTATAGATTATGGTATATCGAGTGAGATGGATAGATGATTATGAATAGTGAATAGGTAAAGGGTGTGAATTGAAGTGGTCGTGGCATATTTTGAGATGTTATCCCGGTAGGAAAATCTCGAGAATTCTCTGTCAGAACAACACGTAAAGCTCGTAATTCTACTGAGATTCGAACTTAACACAGAGTCACCACTGCAGAATTCTAATCGGTTAAGTAATCGTGGATTTATCTGTGTTATTTAACGATGCGCTTTCAACTGAAGACATTCTATCCAATTAATTCTGCGAAAAAAAAACATGATGGTAATCACTGACCTTTTTTCATTTCTGGTTTATTTGACGATGATGTCCGTTGTTCAGACTTTCTGAAGTCGAAAGATAAAAGATGAATTATGAGTTGGGAAATGTCGAAAGCAGTGGTCGTAGCCTAATTTAAAAAAAAAACTACGCGACATTTGACTTAGGGATTCAGACAGATATAAAAAATGTGGTACTGCCATTGTTTTATAGCGTAGTTTCTAGTGAAATCATCATTATTCAGTAAGTATTATTACAGTAAAAGAACAGTGTGTTAGTAATTTGAAAGACCTTGAGATTACTTTTTCTACTTCATAGTCGTGATATTATCATTCAAAGCTCAAGGTCAGTGTTTATGACTGGGAATTTTTCATTGATTTCCTCAGTTACAGACCGACTGACAGAGCTGCTGAAAGATTAGATAACATTATTAAAAAGAGTAACTGAACGATAGAGTTATGTCTTCTATAGGGAGGTATCAAATTTGAATGTCGACCAGTATTCGCTTCCCTGATTAGTAATTTTCATTGATTTCTCTAGGAAAGGAAGGAAGGGGCTACAATTTGTTGGTCATTTGTCTGATTATTACGCTGACTGTTCGGATGACAATGGAGCTTGGTGAACAGTTTTACCGCTGACTAAGAGAGTAATGACGTATAATACAAGATGGGTGGGAAAGGTGGAAGTAGACGAGGTTAAAGAAGGAGAGACAAAGAAATCATCCTCCTTCGCATTCTGCAAGTACAAGATACCTTTTCTCAGCGTGGAGACTCGCTATTCTGACAGGCATTTAATGATTTTACTCAGTTACTCCAAGAAAATGCTGCTGTAGTACGTTAAACCCACTTTCTTAAATTCTATCCCATTTATTGCTTAATCCAGGACGGTTGCATTACATAAGCGTTTGATGCTCCGTCGTTAAACAAAGAGAGAAAGAACAGGAAGAGGACAAAGATTAAGAATAATGGGGAAAGGTGAAGAAGCGAATAATAAATAGGAACGAGAAGGAACAGAAACACCTCGTCTTAGTAAAAGTTAAAATCCACCTCGGAGGTCTAGCTCAATGCGCCGCACTGGGTCTCCGTCACAATGATCAGTTTTATAATGTTTAGGTAAGCCGCTGATGTTTATTCTGAAGACCAAATGATACCCATATCTTGACTCTGTGTATTAAAGTAGGTGATACGCATAGCAACCACTGAGCTATAAAGACTTAAACAATTCAGGTGATTATGTATAAATGTTAAGTAGGCCTTTTTCAGAATAACATGTGGGCATAGGCGTTTATTGTTATGGGCTATAAAACAGGTCGCTGACTAAGGCGGAAAAGGTTAGATGGGAGCTAGGGGGAGGGGGTGTTCGTATGTCGCTGGGAGCTAGGGGGAGGGGGTGTTCGTAATGCTTCCACTTAAAAGTCTAGGCCAAATAGTAAACAAGGTCACATAAGTAGAAATAACTTAAGACAAAGAACGCGGAAAATATGGCATATTGCACGTAAACTCGAGAGACGTGCGACCTACAATAGCCTTCGTCGGTCTCGTTTCAGAGGAAAATGCACAGAAACATAATTTTGCACGTTGCTTTATATGATGAATGTGGAGCGTGGGTTCCTATTAGTCAAAGCGGCGCTACAAACCAAAAGACCAACATCGACGCTTTTACAGCCGTGATAACATCAAATCTCACATTCAGCATGGGCGTACTTCCTAAGAACTTGGTGTGGACTCACAGGTAAATGCCAACATTTCAGAGAAATATGTCTTCATCTTCAGGGCGCCTTGAAGATGGAGACAGAATGTGTCTGCGGACGTCGGTATCTACGTACGAGTCCACACGGCGTCACAATCCATAATAACAACGCCGACAAAGAAATTAGTCTTTAAATAAAGCAAGAGATCCTGAAACGAAACGTATCTCATTGTACACAACACAGTTGTTATGAATATGATCTGTACTGAATATCTGTTTTAATGAACTTAATTCACACAATCTTATGATGTACGAATGTGCAGAAGATTGATGAAAACTAGACACTTCACATTAATTATAAACGTAGTTGTTTTATTGTATTTATGAATAATTCTTAGAAATAAATGTCATAGAAGACAATACAATATTCCTTGCTACACACACACACACACATGCACATATTATCTTCAGATAGTGCAAATTAATTTCTTTGCGCCGAAACTATTTTACTTCCCCCTTCTATTGACTTAATATTTCCTCACTGTTTGCTAACATCACAGTCCCTTCTCGCGGATTTCTCACATTTCCACTGCATATTTTATAAATCAAAACTTAGTCTTCATCAAATTCTGATATCTGGTACGTTAAGCGTGTTTATTACCAAAAATTTCTTGTGTGTTAACAAATATCATCCAACATACAATCCTCTGGGTTTAGACCTGAAAGGAATTTCCACACCTTTCCGTTTCGGTTCGGGAGTTGTTTCTACAAATCGAGGCCATCCCTTCGTATCCCAAATATAATTGGGCCCAAACATTTCTTCGGGCATTTTATATCCTTCGGGCAACAACATTCTTTGTTCAATTCCATCCGATTCGGGCAAGGAGATTGGTTTTTCTTCCAGGAACTGACTTTTATGGTAATTTTGTTGGCTTCTTTGTGGAAGATTGTTGTATGGGAATTTTAAAGATACTGGTGGATTGTCTTCAAAAATAATTGGCGAGTCTTTATAAAATTTGTTATCACCAGAGTTTTCCATGTAATTTAACACTGGCTGAGGTGCAGTCTTCACATATCTGGGCCATCCTTTTGTATCCCAAATATAGTCTGGTCCATACATTTCTTTTGGTATACTTTGTCCTTCAGGCAACAACATTCTTTGTTCAATTCCATCCGATTCGGGCAAGGAGTTTGGCTTTTCTTCCTGGAACTGACTTTTATGGTAATTTTGTTGACTTCTTTGTGGAAGATTGTTGTATGGAAAGTTTAAAGATACTGGTGGATTGTCTTCAAAAATAATTGGCGAGTCTCTATAAAATTTGTTATTACCAGAGTTTTTCATGTAATTGAACTCTGGCTGAGGTGCAGTCTTCACATATCTGGGCCATCCTTTTGTATCCCAAATATAGTCTGGTCCATACATTTCTTCTGGTATACTTTTTCCTTCAGGCAACAACATTCTCTGCTCAATACCATCCCCCTCAAACCAGGTGTTTGTCATTTCTTCGTGTCGATTCCTTAAAGGAGTATTGGTGACAGGAAACTTGAATGGGGTATCAACATTTTCTTTGAAGACAATTGATGACTGGCTTAATGGTCGTTTAATATTTCCATATGGCTTTGTCTTCACTGGCACATCGATGTTGTTACTTGGTAACCACGAAGAAGTTTTCACATTTCTAGGCGAGCCTCTTGTGTTCCAGGCAAAATCAGAACCATACGAGTTGCTGAGAAATGAATGTGCATCTGGTAGAAGCATTCGTCGGTACTTGGTCTTGGCGTTTCCACCTTCCGCTGATAGGGGTGGTGAAGCGATGCTATTTGTTACACAAATCAAGACGACAGCATGTTCCAGTAGAGTGAAGATGGCCTGAAATTAAAATATATAAATTAAATATTAGTATAGTCTGTCAGTATAGTGATGGGCATAAGAACGTGTGGGCTGCTGTTCGATTGTTTTCTGTACATCTGCACATTCTTAGTTATAGCTTCCAGAACAGTGACCACAGTAAAATAAAAGGACTCATCTCAAACACTGATGAATATATTAATATTTCAGTACTTTAGAATACTCTGTAGAAGTAAGAAACTTTCTGGACACTGTCAGCTACTCAAGAAGGATTCTGTTCCATGTAGATAGTTATTGTACGGAAGCCTTACAACAATATTTGATATGAAATGTAAGATGCAGCTTACCATGGTGTGGTGTTCAGCACGCGATCTCGTTGAGATGACACCGCCAGATTCACAACATCTGGGTTTTGTTCGACTTAAATCGGAGGATGTGGTTGTAGCTTTCCGGTTTCCTCAGATTTCCTCTGAACACTTTTTAGGTCAGGAGTACTGACGTGTGCTATTTGTATTGCACGAAAGGGCAAATTTAGAAGATAAGGAATCTGTCCAGTTAGTAACCCAGATGATAATCTGAAGTCAGTAAAATATAACGAAACAAAAAAGATAAGAGTTTAACCTCGTCGGGAATCAATATGTTAATAGATGTATGTTGCATACAGGCCTAATTCTTGTTCACGTCATGCGCACTAGTTAAGTTACGTTATAGTACAACACGTCATTAACGATAATATCACGTAAATCCAATCCATGAACAAAGATTATATGGCTAAATCCTCCGCGTCACGCCCGGTGTCGTCATGTCATATGGGATCTCGAGACTCATCTGCACTGTAGATGGTGTTACGTGTCCACGTTGCGATCCCAATCGTCGTGGTATCGCCGTGGATTTACAAGTGGGATATCAAATTTCGTCCCGAATGTCATGTGTCGTTGAGTATCGGAAGATATTATCCCTAAACCCAAGAATGTTGATTAAGTTGTCTTCTTCATACAAGCCTGTTCTGACAGCAGAACGCTTACGATGTATATAAATTTGTTTTTCCTCCTGATACTCTTCTGGTTTCTTCTGTAGGAAGAACAATCTCTCTGTAGTGAAGATAACTTCTCCAAGGAACATTCTCCCCAAAATTAAAGTTCCTCGTCTTACAGACCGGGTCTGAGCAGAGACTCATAGCTGTCACATTCACCAGTTCACCACTCGTTTGATTATGAGTGTGAATAATTTTGTTTCCGAAACTCATAGGTCTCTGTTGTTGGTATTTCGAACATATGAGAAGAACTGAATAACTTTTCCTTCTTTTTATCCATCCGTTTCACAAAATACGACGAAAGACACCGAGGTCCAGTTAGGGACAAGAAACCACATCCAAAAGACCACAACATCCTGCATTTACTGTTTCTGTGCTGAGGGATTTTTCCATGACAAAACATTTTACCCCATTTCCCTTGGAATCACCTCTGAAGTTACTTTGCCTTGAGACGGTTCGGTCCGTAGCAGAACTCAAAATGTGGGGCCACTCTTTCTGATTTCTTATTTTATTTAATGACACTATGCCAACTATACGTCGTACGTGCCACTGTTTTATATTGCTGGACCAAATGTTGCTGATTATGCGAATATGTTGATACACGTTTCTGGCATGATGCTATGTATTTGTTTTAATTAACATTAAGGTTTTAATGTTGTTTACTGGATTTCACACGCTTAGTAACTAATTAAAATGTTAATTTTATATCAGGCGTGGCGGAATTTTCTGATTCTAGCGAATGGAAATGTTTTGAATGTTATTTCGAACCACCTGACATGAAGTATGCATATTTTGTGTTAGATAATGCGCACTCCGTTGCATTAGTATTTGTCCTTCAAGTTTCTGCCAGTCTTTACCAACATCGGGTGCAAATTTAAAAGATAAAAGCCATATAGTAGCTACACATACATACAGAGTACATGATGATGACATCGTGAATGTAAATATTTATATAAAATTAGAAACGCATACTAAAAATATTTAACAATAACCCCTAGCTAACTCAACAATAGATAGAGCACTTTCAGAAGAAAATCGAAAAAATGTTTTATTCTGAATGTTATAGCCGAAACTAAAAGTACTGAAATTTGTTTGTGCGACCTATAATCCCATTCCACAGCGTGAGCTTCAGCTTCCACTAATTGCCTTTTTTTTAGTTTTGATGAGATGCTAGGTGTTGGACACCCATGAAATGAATTAATTAGATGGGAGAAGAAATACAGAAAGTGAATGAGAGAGATGGCGGATTGATCAAAAAGAAACATCATTACGACAGATTGGTCATGCAACCTCAGTGGGGAAGTCCCGAAGTCTTGAAGGCTTTTATCTTGATTTCAGTCAGGACACCTTTCAAGGTCCTATAAATTTTGAGGAGTGGGTGTGAAACGTGGTCTTTCACATCAAGGAACGAACGCGGTTCCAGAGAGTCTGGGAGTTTGGTACTAGGGAGACATTCGGCCTGAAGAGGGATGTAGCAGACATGGGAATGGCGAAAAGTTTATAAGTAATTTTAGTCGGAAACACGAAAGAAGAGACCACTTGTAAGATATTTGACTTCAGTGGGAGGATAATATCAAAATGGGCCCTAAAAGAAATAATATGGAAGGGGGCAGACTGGATTGATCTCGCACAAGACAGGAACCAGTGGCGTGCTGTTGTGACCACGATAAAAATTATTCTTTATCATCTGAGCGCCTGTTAGCTATTCAAGAAGGACTCTGCCCCAGGTTGTCAGTCAGGCCTTAAAGTTTAAATATGGCGTTAATTAATTTACGAATCCAAAAGTGGTTCAACTAAATGTTGCGGGAATTTAATAAGTTACATGCTTTGTTTCGTTTATAGGAAATTGACAACAGTCATTTAAGGAAATGAAAAGAAGTCCTGAGTCAGTTTTATACACTTGCGGTCTTCATAACTTGTCTCCTCATACACTTACAATGTACGTTCTTCCTTTAGAATAAAATTCCACAATTCTCGCAAAAGAAAGTCATTTAACAAAATTATTTTCTGTATCCTAATCTTCAGCGTTCTGGAAAGCAGACAGGATAATATCAGTTCTCGAACAGAATATTAGCAATTGTTTTTAGAATATATTGTTGTCTTGACGTAAGAATAAACTTTTTTGTTTCTGTTTCCAAGTTGTGGATTAATCTGCCCCTTAATACCAGCACATAAAGATGATATATGACGACATTGAAAGACAAAATTTGTTTTCCAGAATATCCGAGATGTCATCATTAATTTCTTACACTGACACGAAAATAAATGTCGTCAGAGACATATACCAACTGCTGTAAGAGGAATGTGGTTGAGGACTCATGACGTTAAAACTGGAAGATTGCATGGGAAGAGCTAAGAAGGCCCGTGTGCCCCGTGCGAAGAGTGAGAATGTGCTAGACATTGGTATAGCAACTCAGTATATTTTCATGGCAAGCCACGGCTTACCCGTTTCCGTGTTTTTGGTACGATGGTCTTCAAGTTCCGAGATTGTTTATTTGTGGTTATGTTCTGTGACACTGGTATACAGAAACATAAGTTTTATCATAATGTAAGCTGTTAACAGTGAAACTTTCCGGCCTTCCACACAAATCCTCTGATTTTATTCTTTCGTTCTTATGTCAGACTGTATGAAGGTTCAACACGAAGCAACACAGATTTAAAAGTCTTCTTACTGGGTGCCAGATCTAGACGCAATAACTGCGAATTCCATCTGACAAGTAATCTTAAATCATGATTTGTTGCCAGCGTTATAAATTTTCTGTCAAAATATTCCACTCTTTATTTGAATAAATCCACACTAGGTACTCTTAAATCGTGAAAAAATTATAACAAAAAGAAACAGAGTTTGTGATAAAAAACGAACAAAAGTCTTAGCAATTCGTTCTGACGTTCCCTTTTGAAAATAGTAAATTCGTTTCACAGCAGGAGAGAACACAAGCCAGACTATGTTTCTACTGAACACGTAACATCATATCAAAATACAAGCAGGTACCACAAAGCAAAGTCTCAGACATTCACATTTCATTTATAGTGGAGACGACATAAATTTCAGCTCAGACCGCTCGTACCTAGTTGACTGAGTTTTTACGACTGCATTAAGAATAATGTATCAACGGAAAAGCAAAGTTATTTCCCATTTAAAATAATCCTGTATACTCTTTAGTGTCCTTCGAGTTACTTAGGAGAAGTAATTCTACTGTAAATTGGAGGGTTTCCCCCCCAAATCAACGGGGTTATAAATCAACATTAATTTTAACCAAATATTTTGATTACGAGCATAAGTTTCTTCGGTTCTGAAATTATTATTGTATTCACTTCTAAGACCCCTCTCATCCCACCTGTTGGTAGTTTACATAAAATACAATTTATATTTCATCCGGTAAGAATTATATCAAGTTACTAGAAACAGGGTTTGTAAGAAATAACTTGACATGACTCAATAAATTACTTTAAAATAAACTAATTTCATTTCAGTACAATTTTCAAACAGAAAACTACACACAATTCTTTCCTATCAATGTACCCATTTGCATGCGAGACGTACAGTAGTAGGGAATAAACCGTGAGTTTCATGTCCGTTAGAAGTAAGTGGCAAAGTCAGCAGATAAAGAAGCAAGAACTTCCCAAACTAGCTCGCTGTCTCAGGAAAAATTTCTTATGTTTGTTTTCCTTCTATCCTCAATGTTCTGACGTAGACGATACGTACGTCTTGGTCCCGACTACTGTATGTTTTTCGAGTTTCAAACTGTGCATCTGCTATTCTGAGTGGCTGTCAGTACCTGAACATAGTTCTTGAGTGTTAATCACGACAGCCCCTTCAAACAGGCCACGACCACTTCGTTTACAATATTTTGCAGATCATACAGTCTTACAAAACAACAACTGAGCGGTCTTTGGGTCTGTTCTTAATTTGCAGAACGGTAATCCTGACAGAAGTATCTCGTAGGTTTCCTCAGTAAATTCTGGTCTTTAAACTGTTTTAAAATTCCAAGACCGCTCCATCAACATCCTGAATTCATTATTGTCATCGTCTTATCCTACGCCATGAACAAACCTGTGATAACAGAACCCGAAGTTTCAACAGCGCTACCAAATCCACTGTTTTTGATTTTTAACCACATCTACCCTCACACAACCCAAAACAATTAACACTGTCGATACGTAACCTAAAGGCTAACACCCCTAGTACCAAAACCAGTTTTTGGGTCCATCCTGATAAACGTTAATCATACTCAGCAGCTGCTGTCTGTCTTTTACGTGGTGATCATAGCACAAAACCTGATCTCACTTCTACGTGCACTTTGAAGCATGACTCAGATGGCCACAGCATCCGTCTCCTCTCCACACTACATCGCTATCTCATGGAAAGGACCCAAAGTACATTCAGCATATCGAGCTGGCTCTGTCGGTAATCAGTTTTCCTGTTGTTCTCGGCCCTGACACGGTTCTACGCTTAGAACATAAAAAAATGTTTTCTCTTTGAAAAATCTTGTATAAGCTTTTTGTGTCCCATAACCGGTAAAAACTAACGTAGCAACCGAGTTGTTTGCACGCCTGCTTAGTAGCTTAGTATGTGGGAGCTCCCATTTTGACTTTTTTGGTTGCTTTAGATTGGGTTTATTGGGTTTGGTTGGGATAATTTTTCTTTCGGTTCAGCTTGGTTGGTTTAAGTTGGTTTAGGTTCGTTCAATATACGTTATATTACGTTGCTTCAAGTTAGCTGTTGTTGGTTTCCTTAATTTGTGTAATCTGAAGTTACATTACTTTAGATAGAGTTTGATTTTTTTCGTTTGGATTAAGTTAGAATAGTTTCTGAAAGATAAGTTATGACGATTGACTGTTTCACAGCTCTGCGCGTCGATTCTAATGGTCTTCATTTTCGACGTAAGCATCTTCACCAGTAATCAAACCCGGGACTGATTTTCGGCGTTTTGGCCTTATTCCTGCACCATTATCGCCGAAATGAACAAATCAGCTTCTGGCGCCGTTATTCTCTTATGCATAATTTCAGAGCTACAGGATTTGTCCTCACGCGGAGTCGAACTGAGTACACTGTCGCGGAGATTCAACCTTCCTGAAATCTCTATCTCGTCTCAAGGAATAAGCATGTCATGTTTGCTTCAAATTGGTTTATCCGTTCTCGCGCTATCAGCTTACGCACACTCACACACAGACAATTTTAATTTTATATATAATATAATCTGGATGTGCTGAGTGCTGCTATTTCTGACGAACTCCGCTTCTTCTGACGTCGATTTTTCATACCTGCAATAATAGTCTCTGTGGGACTTTGAAGTGTTGAATTTAGTGAGCAGTGGGTATTTCTTTTCTACAGTTTTAGACTGCGACCTTGAATTATGTGCTATAAATCCTATTTATAATTTATATAAGGTCATTAAATTATTTTATACAAAGTCTACGTTTCAAGAGAACATATTTTTCCCGCTGAATGCTGGTTTTCTCAAGGAATCACTCCGCTACTTTTAAACAGACAACGCACTTTGCCTGGTTTTTTTGATTTATGTCACGGACATTGCCAGATGTCTGACCGCAAAACTCTGGCAATAATAATTTTGTGTAACGTGTGTTTTCTTACAAAACTAAGTATCTCTGTGGATTGTGGTCCATTTTGTCAGGTATTCAAGAACTTCTCCGCCTTTTATGGAATAAAACTACCCCTTACTGCATTCACTAGAGCGCACCAGTGGGCCTTGTTCTGAGCCAGATGAATCCAGTTTATTACACCTACTCGCCCCGTGTTTTAAGTTCTATTTAAATATTATCTTCCCATCTACGCCTAGATCTCCCAAGCTGTCTCTTACTTTCGAAATTTCCTACTAATTTTTTTTCTACTTTTCTCCTTTGCCCGTCTCACCATCCTTCATTTTATCACCCTGATAATATTCAGAGTATTTTGTAAAACTGATGTGAAGTTTGACATGGCTAAAAATTTCACCATTCTCTCTTTGTTTTTCTTTATTTTTTGTCTTTGACTTTTTTATAAATTTCCTCTTTATCTATTTATTCATGCCTTTCTTATCTCGACTTTTCTTCTTCGTCATTATTCGTTCAACTTTTCTTTATCTTAATCTCCAAATGTTATTATTCACTGACTGTCCGTCCAGTCCATACAATCGAAAGGCCTTCCTCTGACGATGCCATTGCATTCTGCTGTCCATCGTTGTTAATATACAGACGCTGAACAGATAGTCCCCGAACTCTCGCGTCCGACGCGCAAATTTCTTTGATGTCTTCGAAATTTTAACGACCACACTTATCAGAAAGAAGTGAGATAAAACGGCAGAGCTGCAGTTGTTGGCACTCTGCAGTTGCCTTGTAATATTGCGAAAGCTTTCAAGAGAAGCATCTCGAGTGTTTCATCCGCGTACCTTCCACATGCCTTCCAGTTCCGGGATTTTCAAACTTTCCTTCATCTCGCTCCACTTTCAAATGCCCAATTATCGCCAGTCATCACGCATACTTTACATCATGGGACTTTAAGCCGCTGACACTAATAACTGTTTTGAATCCAACATTCTTTGTTATTTAACGGCTATTTATTAGTTGCATTCGTTATATGTCATTGTGACTATTATGAATTAGGAAGAGTTCGAATGAAATGATCGTAGTCTATTTAAGGCACTAATCCAATATTTTAACTTGGTATAAAATGTTAACAGAATTATCTCACTCGTAATAGACTTTGAATCTTCAGCGGTATTAATAGGCATGAAAGACCTGTCAATTAACATTATATAACGTATCACATCTGACCCCATGTTGCAAAGTCTTATTTTAAAAGAAGATAATTGTTCAGATGGCATAGAAATTTCCTTCCTTCGTGAAACCGAAGTGCGCATGCCTTTGGCCTCTATTCCGAGCTAGCTGAAGCCATCCTTAGCCCTCACACCCTATTTATCTAGGATCCATTATGATATTGTCATATCATTTGCGTTTTTTGTTTTTCAAGTGTTCTTTTACCTATGCATACAACAACTAAAGACTTGTATGTGTTTCTCATCCTTGATTCCCACATGCCCTGACCATCACATACACCCCTCTTGAATTAATTACTCTGATAACCGTTGTTAGGTAAAATATGCGTTGAAAGAGCTTACGCATTTGAGTTTGAGTATTTTATTATATAATTTTCTGCGTTTCTGTGCTGAGCTCGGATATGTATACTGCACCCTTTCATTTTGGTTTCGACTCACTATACAATAATCACATATTTTTAAGTTGACTGCCGGCAGGAAGTTGTCATTACGTAAACGGAGTCCAGGTAGTTATTGATGCAGAACGTATTATGGTCCACACTGCTTCCCAGCTCCAGGATGCCTCTGACGCCCCGCTAGAAGCCGCTCCCCACTGAATAAGAACCAGGGTGCTAGCCGTAATCGAAGATTAACAAGTTTCAATTTTGAAGAGGCACACAACTGGTTTGAATATAAATAGTAACAAGAAATGTAACATGTATAATCAATCTATTTTAGAACTGAAATGTTGCATTCAACATGTGGAGGAGCCAACAATTCGATGTGATGTATTGGACTCCGATTATAACAGAGCCGCTGGCGTGTTACTTCTATACGAGTAATCTTTCTCAATGGGAAGTGAGTCTACAAGTTGAGTAATCTAGGCAATTAAACACATATAGGCCCATGAGTAGTTCATCCTTTTGCTGCTACTATTTATATAGCAGTGTCAGAGCTCCACGCACGCCACATCACTCTTTTCCGATGTGGATGGATGTCATGGCGGGTTGACTCCATTCTCAGTCCTCAGTTCTTGGTACGGGGGTGAATGTTCTTCGTACCTGAGACCCAGTAGGAAGTCGGGCCCTAGAACTAAATAGGTCCTTTAACACCGGAGGAGTTTTGACTCCAGAGCCGTTTTAGCCTGCCGTCTGAGCTAACAAAGATTAATGTAGCACCGTGGTTCTCATCCCACTGCCTTTCGCAATTTGTTGTAGACCTAATTTTTTGTCTCATTCTGTATGCAGAAAAAGTAGTTACCTGATACCAGAAAGCAACCTTTGTTGTAGTTTGTATTTGACAAAACAATGGCATCTGGTGACTCCCCTCCTGTAATGTGACATCTTTTGGAGAAGCTTAGTTTCCGAGCTACGGAAAACTAAAATCGAGCTAAGAACACTTTTTCATAGTTTTGATCCTCCTATGATCTCTTCCTGGTCTCAACAAATAATCATGTCGAGTTTGGTCCGAATCAGTGTCCATTCTCGAGCCACATGAGACTTCCAATAATTTCAACATGGAACCCAGTATTATTGGATAAGAAAGACCTTCATCTTATATGGGTATTTTTTCTATTGTGGCTTGTATTTCCTTTCATTCTTATATTTTTTTATTTCTTATCTTTCACTTCCCGTATTTTTCTTTCGTTTTCTTTCCTTTGTTTCTAGGTTTATTTGTATTTTCTTCTATCTTTCTGTTTCTTTGCTTCCTTTTATCTTTATTTATTTGATTATTTATTCTGTTGACTTCAGCGGTCTCTTCGTAGTATTAGTAAAGACGTGCAGTATAAACTCTTAAACAAAATATTAACATCTACAAAAATAAAACCGTCTCATAAATCGAGTTATTTCTTTTGGGAGAGGTACGAGGCTTCATAAAAGTATGGGTGTTGTTTTGGTCAAGAGCTACAGTGCCGTTTATTGGACACAAAGCAAACTATTTACAACAACTTACAACAGAGCGACATTTCGTAACAGAGCAAAACGGTAGCGACGTTCATGGCGTCTGTGTTAGTAGTAGACGAGGGGCGTTATGAGGGCGTCGCGACTGGTCTGCACCCTGGCGGAGGAGCTGTAGGCGTAGGGCGAGTGAAACCCAGGGGCGCCAATTGAGATGCCGTACTGGGCGGATGCAATGGCGATCATCACCACCAGGAAAACGAGGGCCACCTGAAAAGTAGATAGACATTGCTGGTAAACTTTTTTTAAAAACTAGTCTTTTAATTTATACGTATCATTCAGGAAATCTGGAATGATCTGCAAGACCTCCGTATTATCACAAAGGGGAAAGTCTGCTCTAGAATGGACAAAGAACAGGTCTTTTCCTGGACTGTCATCAATCGGACGTACTTGAGATTGATGGTAGGACAGGAGCTCTTTCGATAACGTATATTTGATAGTAGTTGGCACTTAGTTACGTTTCTAGAGCGAATTCGTACAGCGAGTCGCAAAGTTATAATTGGGGGCTATCTTTTCGAACAACCAAAATATTACCAAAATAAATTAATCATCACTATTCGTAGAATATTTCCTCCTACCAGCCATGACCAGAAGGGAATAAACCACAATGTTGTTAAAAAAAATTCTCAGATTTCTTACCGAAGCAAAACATTGGAGCAACTGATTCATTTACATCCCCTGGTTCCATTGACTGACTTGGCGACGTTGAGTTTTCGTTAGCACGCGTTTAAATTTGTTTGCAAGATTTCAGATGAACAAGTTTGCGTGTGGTTGGCGAGCCAAGCTGACAGTAAGTGCTTCGTTATAAAAGTTCGTATGAGCGAAATGTCGTAATGCTAGTCTTCATAAAGCGAGGACTGACTTTATACACTCCGTGAAGTAAATGGATTTTTCGTTTCTGATCTTTATTTTGAATTGAATTGAATTGAATTGAATTAATCTAACAAGTACGTTTTGATTACAGAAGAATTTAGTTCATTGATAAGTTATTTTAGTTTTAGTAACCCAATAAAGTATTTTGAAGGTCGTAATTTTTCTGCTTGCACACGTTACATGTCATTTTTACAAAAATTAATAAGCTACGTAAATTTAACTAAAATTTATATAGTTTATCTTAATAAATTATAATATTTATTACGTTTACTTCTCCTCTGCGTTGATGCTTTCTGCCGCAGAAGTGTTAATAAAAATCATAATTACTAGTAATCTGATATGTACCTAAATAATTATAATTCAATTCAATTCAATTCTTTATTATTTGTGTGCTGTATCATTTAATAATAATAATATCACTGTCGTTCGCACCCTACTGTTGACACAAGGTGTTCTGACCAGCCTAAATAGGCCTAAATATAAATATTACATATAAAACAATCCCTAAAAAATATATTAAGAAATTAATTAAAGCATCACTCAGAAACAGGATGGCTCGGCTACTGTTTGATTCCAGTCCAGGGAACGAATTTTTGTATTTGTGAAGTCAAAGACGACTTTGGCTACGGGGCCTAAAGCGACCGGATCTTAAGACGTCCACTAATTTCCTTCTGTAATGTCTATAACGCCCGAGCATTAACAGCATTTGCCCTATAAAGCAGTGTTTATGCACACAGGTCGCTTCCTAATCATTAATTTAGATTTTTACATAGCAACTGATTTCTGCTTACCAGTTTCATCATGTTCCTCTTTGTGGTCTGCTACGTGAATCGACTGCTACCTCACACTGAACACCGCGCTCCTTTTATACCACAGCTACTGCGAGGGATGTTAAGGATATCAGGAAATTTCTCACCAATGTCACGAGTTGGAGATTAATTTCAGATGTCAGAACCACACCTATACGTATCTCTTACTCCTCCGTGACCCTCAGACGGGCGTTTTAATTACATATAGAGGTCAGCGTTGTCGGAGTGTTTATAGTTCCTGGTACCTGGTACGTCATAACTAATGACACCTGTTTTCGGTACCGTATTATTGTTATTATTAAAGAACAGACAGAATTTAAGGTCGTGGGTTCGAAACCTAGCAGAGGCATGGATAAATATCCGCCTCTTTTAGGTGCTGTGCTTTGGAATCATAGTTCAGACGTAAATTCTGAACTGGAACAGTCTACAGTGACCATTCCGCAGAAGGTGGGACGCCATATTTTAACTCACTGTGTAGACGCTCAAGACACGTGACCTTTCTCAGACGACTATTCCGATTAAAAACTAAACCACAGCCTGTAACAAAGCTGACCTTTTATCCGTTTTTTGCGCAAAAAACATGAAATGGACGCTGTGTCGGTTTGCCTGTTTAATTTTAGGAATCTCGACAGATTTAGATTAATATTTTTTAAAATCTACTGTGAGAGTTGTCGGGTGGATTTGTTTTGTCAGTATCTGCCAAATAGTCAGTTGGTGAGATTTCAGGTTATTACGGAGGCGACTATGAAGATTGCCTTCTGAAAATTTACGCCATGTAGTCGAGTCATGCAGATGTGTGGGGCGATATCGACCTGATAATGGAAGCAGTAAGTAGCCCTGTAACGTATGTAAAGTTCTACCAGACTACAAGGCGCAATATCCCTCAAGACAGGCTTCTTCATGTAGTATCATGCTCTCATGCGTAGTTTGCGCGCCGAAGAATAGAACTTAGTGGTTTTTCTAACGTCTCCTCATACAAAAGTGTCTAAAACATTGTAACAAATGACTCCCGATTATCCGGGTTAGTTGGGAAATATAATTTCCCGGATAATAGAAACTCCGGATAATGCTCAAAAATAAAACAAAAACACTTAGATGTATCAAGTAATATATTTGCATACATACACTACTTAAATGTTTAAAGATTTATGGATAACAGAAAGTATTTTATATGGAATTTAATACAGTACGTACCAACTGTAAAAAAAATCCCAATAGGTAGTAATAACGTTTTATTGTCGGAAACTTCGGGTTTTAGCAACAGTTGATCTATGTTAATGCGTTAACTAATGTAAATGTTATATTTATTCATTTCTTTTAAAAACGTTCTAACTTATACAAAAAATTTATAAATCAGTATTTATTTTTCATTTGAACCAGATGAACTCGGTTATTCGCCACACGGATAATCGGGAGTCTACTGTATTTGAGACTTTTTCAATTCGGTGAATATTTAACAAAATGTCTTCTGACTTTATAGTGATAGTGCATGTACAAGAGTAATTTTGTAGCTAATGTTTAATAACTGAGTATGGAGGGAATTGATTGCGAAAAGAGCATTAGGAAAACAGTGTACTCAGTTGGAGTACAGCTTTCTATTCTTGTTTGTAGGTTGTTATAACTTTAATGTACGATTTTAATGATTTCGGAGGACCAGATGGTAGCTCAGTTATGACGTCACAGACATCCATGCAGTGGCCCTGGACATTGTCCCTTGCAGTCATGGTGAGTGCCCACAATGTTCGGCTGCAGCTATTTCTGTTGACTGCCAAAAAAAATTCTCGCCTCTTTCGTCGTTGTGCTTTGTTACGTCTCGATCCACGTCTCTTCTATTTCAGCTGCACAGGAAATTCCAGCCATGGTGATGCCGTTTATCTGAAACCGATTCTATTTTTGGATCGTAATATTCTCTTTGTTGTGGGCGATTGGTTCATACTATTACTTCAAGTAACGTAGATAAATGTAGAATTTTTTTTAAAAAATCTTGTTTCTGTTAAGCCATCCTTCTCACAGTGCAAAAATCGTTAAGTCGTGTTCTTCCGTATGTAAAATTACCGAGCACATTTTCGCTGATCGGATTTGGATTAAAACCTTTTAAGAAAAGCAGTTGGGTTGCCTATTCAAATGTTATGATAAAATTAAAATGGGCATTATAAGTAAAAATTAAAGGCAAGTTTTGACAAAATAATCACGCAGCTGTTAGACTTTTTTCGTAAACGCTGTGTTTTTTAATATGTGGTCCTACGATCCATGAATTACCTCTTTACGTAAGCGTAAGATGTAAGATTTGAGGTTTTCACAGCGGTGAGTATGAAGATTTCTGTCTTCTTGGTTGTTGCGCTGTGTAGTCTGGTCGATGTTTCCAGTTACGTCTTAAGCCATTATTGGTCTAATATTTCCATTGCTGATGGTCATTTCAGTTGATACGATTTTATCTGCAGTGATCCTTCGTTTGTTCGTTCTTCTCTTTTATCTCAGTATTTATCAACAATATTCATTCGCTCTGCTTCGAAAAATTTCACTTATTCGTAAATTTCTCTGGTTCATATATTAATCGTTATTAGTTTCACATTTTATGGCCACACAGACTGCTCTTATTTTGGGGGGAAGCTTTATCAGAGGAATAGCCTCAGTCTCTCCAGGCAAATGATTGGACAGAAGTTTAAAATACGCCACATATCTAACAATCTTTCAAAAAAACTGTCCTACAGTTTTATTCTACTTTTGCTTTACTTTTTCGATGTAAATAAATTATCAACTAACAACAATATCGGAGGGGTTTCATTTCGACTCTGATATTTGACGATGCTGTTTCATCCGCATATGTTATAATTAAATGAATAGAGCAGAATACTTCTTGAGAAACTGAAAGTCGCTTACATAGTCAATAAATTCCGTATCTTTTAAGCAACCTGGATGTTTGCTAGCGTGTTCACAAGAACACCTCACTAGACTCCCTCTTGAGGCATTACAATCCAATCCTCGCCCTATTTATTTAATCCACGAGGTTTATATAGGTTATTCTTATTCTGAGATTATTTAACTGTTTTGTGGAGTCGAATTATAATGAAGATGGACATGAATGACGTCTGAGTGCAGATTTATAAATAAGTCGTTTAGTGGCGTATTTCAAGACACTGTTTGTTTATTTGTCTGTAGAAAAGGGCAAATTAAAAATTTCTCGAATGGATAGTCGGTATCCTGGGCCGTGTTCAAACCAGGAACTAGTTACTGCTTTCTAGTCTCTTTGGTAAACACATTCTACATTATGGAAGAAATGGAGACACAGGATATTATCTTTATGTCCAGTGTTATTAAGATAATATTCAGAACACGAAACTTTAAGATATATTGTCACTACAGTGCAGTGCAGTGCAGTGCAGACGGTGGGTCTCTTGGTTTCATTCGCTTTTGTTATGACTGCCGTCCACCCCTGAATAAATGACACAATGTTCTTACAACAGATTACTTCCTTCCGCATGTAAAAGTTTCGTGTTTATTGACATGCCAAAAAATATAGTTTTGATTATCTTTGTATCCGTTTGAAATATTCTGGTGACCTCATTTTCATTACTTTCATCCACACAGAAATTCATATTACGTAAATATACATTTGTCTCAGTTATGAGTTATAGAAGGATTACATATTAACAAAAATCTTTGGGTTAGGACGTTTTACATTTCCTTGTGACCTGATTGTTAATTTAAGACTTCATTTCAATCCTGTATGAAGCGTCCAGTCTCCGACTCACTCGGCCATAGGTTTAAATTCTGTAGCATTTCTGCTAAACGTGTTGGCCGAGCTGACACGGTTAACATGAACGCTCCGCTCTGTAATTTCAAATTCCATTTCAAGTCTTTATGAAGCATCAAATCTCCGATTCGTTCAACCATTGTTTTTAATTATGTGCTAACTCAATGGTGCTGGGTATTCCCTGAGCATTTGACAGTTATTATGTTGGTCAGCAAATTCTGGAAGGCATCTTTTATAAATTCTGAAGCATGTAGTAAAAGTGTAGCATAATGAGGAGGCCAAGTTTGTTTTTCTTTCTATCCTTACATTTCCAGTGGTGTAATACTTCAACATAAAGCGTTACGTATAGTTTGTGTTAATTAGACTTTATATTTTGTAAATAAGTAACAAGGTGAGATTTGAATTTTTACAGCTGTGAGGATGATGATGTTCTTCAGGGTTTTGAGACCGTGCAGAAATACTTTGGAATTCTATCGGGTTACTGACTTTCCTGAGTCTCCTGACCGGACGATTGGAATAGGCCACGTTCGTCACCTCTAAAATATATAGGTAATCTACGTACTATTCAACATCATCTCTCCATCTCATTTTCTCATGTGTACGTTAATTAATTGTTGTGTAGTTGAAGCAGTGTCATTAAGTAACCTAAGCCTTCTAACTAAGAAATCTCTTAAATTACTATTTGATGTAATTATTTCGTCTACGTTTCGGTGTACAAAATGGCCTGCTGATAGTTCAAAAGAAGTACACAGATGTTTACGAAAACGTATCCAGGTTAATTAAAACCAAGACAACAATTTATTTAAAACAGTTAACAATTATTACAGCGAATTCCAGATAGCATCATCACCAGACAGTGTACCCAACTGCTCAGAGGTTGGTCCAGAGCCTCGGTGCAGAAATATGGGTGTCTTATGTGACGTTATTGGGATTATTTGAATCAGTAGTAGACGAGGGGCGTTATGAGCGCGTCGCGGCTGGTCTGCACCCTGGCGGAGGAGCTGTAGGCGTAGGGCGAGTGGAACCCAGGGGCGCCAATTGAGATGCCGTACTGGGCGGATGCAATGGCGATCATCACCACCAGGAAAACGAGGGCCACCTGAAAATAGAAAAGTAATCGTCAGATGGTTAGGAATTCGAAACACAGCAGGGTTTTAAATTTGTACACATCGTCAGGGGAAACGTGTGTGTGACGGTCAACATTCTGGAATAGTCTTGGAATAGTAACAGTCAGTACCGCACCAACCAAATGTGTGCGAGCTAAGTTCCACGAATTTATGCAGAATATTCGATTATCTTTCCAGTAATTTATTGTTCCCTAGAAGACTTGCTAGTTTCAACCTAAGTGAAAGACGTACAGAATTTGAATTATCTACAAGTTTTTAAAATAACCCCGATTTTTCGCAGCCTCCGTGTCATTGCTTTACCTTAAAAATTATCTTAAAATTTGCATGTTTAGAGAATCTATCATCATACAGAATTTTGTGATTTTAACTGGGGTAAGTGGTTTTCACACTTGACAATTTCGGCGGTCCGCCATGTTAGTATGATGGTAGGAAGTAAGAAGTTAGGGTGTCTCTATTATCGTGATATTTATATATATTCGTTAAAATTTATCTGATGGTTCGTAATATATCAGGCAAGGGGAGTCAGAAAGTTTGTCTGTTTATAAAATAAGGAATGTTCGTCACCACTGGTCTAAATGTCTCTTTTTGAGCTTTAGTAACCAGTCCCTTGAATTTTGGTGTTCGAACTGCATGCTGTTGCCATGAGAAATATAAATTTCCCACCCGCAGCTACTCACCAGCTTATACATGTCGACTGTTTGTGATGGTGTGCGTCTACTATCTTCTGGAACTGATGATCGCCAATAGCAGGAGCTCGCCTTTATACCCAAAACAGCAGCCGGAGGTCTTCCGGAAAGGTGTCAGTGTCGCACCACGCCCGACACGCACAACTGGATGACACTGACCTTGTGCCTGTTACAAAGGCGGGGTTAACCCTGGCTTGATCTTGTACCTCAGACACTTCCTTATTTCGTAACGCTTCTATATTACTAATACAAAGACGGATGGATCAAATGCGAGTTTTATTAGAGACGACTTTCTGGTTGATTATTGGGTTACTAGTCAGAAGATTATATGTTAACAGTACTGTCATAACAAATAAACAGATTTATTATCCGAGTAAGGTTTGATTTGCTCAGATAAAATATGGCGCTTTTAGTAATATTTTCAAGAAACCAATTTTGTAAAGGTGTGATCGGATTTAACTGTCGCATGATAGAATACAATGATGGAATTTTTTAACAAAATAATTAATCAAACTTCTGCTTCTGTAAAAGAGTGGATTTCTTGAATAGCAAGGTAACTGTCAACTTTTCAAGAAACACTGCATCACTGAATTAGTTATTTAGTGTCATGTTTATATATTTATGCCTTTTTTGTTATTTTTATGCTATTTTCAGTTTGAAGTAACCAAGAAAGATCACGGTCAACATGTTTGCCATTAAAAATATTTGTTTCGGAACGTAACCCATAATTTTAAGATTAAATATGTGGAAAAAAGTCTTCAATTTGCAAATTTTCAATGAAGGAAGCTATCATGTACCTATACTGATTTCGTCAGAAGCCGGCGAGTGTTACATCGTGCATTTTACGTCTTCACTAGCACACACGATATCATTCCACGCTACCTGACAGACAGGCAGGATGTGAGGTGTTGTTGTGAGAGCCTGGTGTTCTCCCTGGTTCGTTAATGTACTCTGCGTTGCCATGGTACGAATGCAGAACCTTTACCAGATTGCTTGCCAAAATACATAAAAACATTTGCATGTCAGATAATATTATGGGCTGGAATAGCTCAGTCAGCAAACTGACTTGATACAAACTGGACGTTTCTTCTGAGATCCCTTTTCCCTTTTTTTTTTGGCAACTTCTTCTTTGCTTCTCATTAGCATAAATTTATCCGGAATCTCGTTTCCAGGCCATATCACAGCCTGACATAGGATATTATGTTTTACATGCGTTTGTAACTACATTTTTATCTCAAACCCACGGTCAGGGCTCAATACGGCCTATTCTCTGGTTTTCATTGTTACAAATGTTTATCGACGGTTAGGAGATGAAACGTTGGTGTAGACTAACGAAAATTACCTCCCTTACATGCGTTCACTTCATGCACCTGATGCAAATAACGGATAATAACCCTCTTAAAAGAATGTCAGTCCGGGGAACTTGTAGTTAAAAATGTAGTAAATAACATTTTGATAGTAGGATTCAGTAAGAAACAAATTAGATATTAATTAATTATCTTCTTTCTCGTTCGTTTTCATTTCTTTTCCACTTCTTCCATCATATCTCAAGACACAAAAGATACAAACTTGTCCTTCCTCATTTGTGGTAGGCAGGTAACCGAGTAAGAACACATTACAATTGTGGGCATTCAAAAAGGTTTGTTGATTCGTCTTAATATAGAGCCAGGGTCTGGACAGTGTTGGCCCACCTCAACGTGCTTCTGGCCTGCCTCTGTTCCTAGCACCCACACACGACACAAAGGAGAGTTAATTTAGACGTGTGATGTTCTCCAAATGTTTTTGTTTCCACAGAACGGCCTACATAAGCAAAAATACATGCAACAACGTTATATCTTATTACTGCCCGTTCTCAAAAGTGAAACATCTGATTTTCTTGTTTCCGTATATCAGATCCAATCAGGCTTTACCGTGCATGCGTCATGTAATTAATTTCAGTGTCATTAAAATTATATTATGATGGAGCTTAGTACTGACGGTTTGACTCTTGCTACATATATATACTCTTTATCAGCTGTGTGGGTTATAGTCGATCAGATATGTGTGAGGAAGTCAGCCTTGACCTGTTTTAATGAACTGTCCAAGAACTGGACTGGAGAGATTGAATGGAGTCCACGTAAAATCTCAATCGATATGTCCAGTTTCCCGAACCAGATACAAACTGTGACCTCCTAAATACAAAGCAAGATTGCCAACCACTACACACAAAATTCTGATTAAATATAATCCTATTTATTCTCTTAATTTCCCTTATATATTCTTAATTGATTTCCTGAATGCAAACTCTCTATTATGGTGGTTCGTACCGAAGTAACGTATCTTGATTTTATTGAGGTACCTAGTTCGAATCTGGTCGATAGCATCAACTATTTTTGGCTTTTCTCTGTATGCCTCAGTCATTTCAGACTATTTAGCAGTATCGTGATTTAAATAAGATTTGAGGTTTTCACAACGGTGAGTATGAAGATTTCTGTCTTCTGGGTTGTTACGCTGTGCAGTCTGGTCGATGTTAACCAACATTTCAGAGGTCATACTGCCTCCGTCATCAGGGCGATGAGTATGAAGATTTCTGTCTTCTGGGTTGTTACGCTGTGCAGTCTGGTCGATGTTAACCAACATTTCAGAGGTCATACTGCCTCCGTCATCAGGGCGATGACCAGACTACACAGCGCAACAACCCAGAAGACAGAAATCTTCATCGTGATTTAACTTTAAAAAGTATGAAAAGTAAAGGCTGCAGTTGGAAAACTGTCTCTGTGCCTTGAAACCCGTACTAAAACGAACCCTCGTCAGCTTTTTTCCGAAAGAACGTAGATTTTCTACCGAATCAGTAGCCTGTTTCGACTTCAAAATTGAATCGGAATTCGTAAATCAATAGTCTTGAGTGTCTCTGAATTTGTTCCATTGCAGAGATATCCTATATCACATCCTCATATGAAATAAATGGGCCATTTCTGTCAAGGAAGAGGAAATGGAGCGTAAACCTGCTACTTGAAAGAAGTCTGTGTTCAAATGCAGACTGCCGCGTGATAGACATTCTTTCTTTTTGGCAGAAGTTTTCGCCAGAGCACTAAAGCTCTTGTTGATAGGCTCGGTGTTGCAGTCCACAGATTCTGTTCATCCTTCCTATCCCGTTTAGGTTTCTTTCTCTCGTTCATTCTACGTTCATATGCATCTTTCTTTCTGTCTTTCCTACCCTCTTTTACTCTTTCTTTCTTTCGGTTAGGTTAGGTTTGTTTATTTGTTTCATTGTCTTGTGTTCCTTATTTTTCTCCTCTCTGTTGCTCTCGTGCTGTGTTTATTACATTTCTTTGCTACATAGGCTATTAATTATATTTTTACATTTATTTACGCCTTTATTTTATATATACTTGCTTTTCCTTTTGTTTGTCTGTTTCTAAAACCTTTTTCGACCATATTCTTTTGTTATTTATTTTTTTACTTTCTTGTATTTCTCTCTTCTTCCTTTCTATCTCTCCTATTCTTTCTTCCTGCCTTTTATCTCTCTTTTCATTTTGTTATTCTTTTTATTTATTTACGTACAAATTCTCACTTTACATACCATTGTGGTAAATTCAGTGCATGTGGTATTTGTGGTGAGGTACCTTTTCTCTGAGAGCTTGGTTTCGTCAGTTCTTCGGCTATCGATAGTTCTTTCTGACCGTCCTTGAGATAAGCGACATGCCCGACCCGCTCAGAAAGATACTTAGCCTCGCTTTTTAGAATGATTAAGAGGTTATCTTTACTTACACCTGCAGCGCTGCCATATTTTAGTTCTCTGATGTTTCACAGAATACATTGACTCTGTCTGATGTCTGCTCTAATGCTGTGTCGTCTCGTACGTTTTTGCTCCCTAGGTTAAAATTAGCACTGTCATTTGTCTGTGTAATCTCTGGTCATTTCCTTGTTTTAGTTCCTAGTGCACTGTGTCCACTGCCAGAAATACGGCTCACACAAACTAAGAGTGAAGTAACATCACCAGTAACCAGGTTGTCACGTGCTTTGTCCACGTGTTAAGCATGAATAATCTCATCACAAATTCGGTTATGTTTGTGATGCATACGAAAGGTACAGACCTTATGCTCTATTCAATTTGTACCGTGTTTTTGTAGATTAGTCGTTTTAAATATGAAAACTGGAACTTCTGCTAGCACGGCCATGTTTTTATATAACGAAGCCTACTCTGTATATGCATTTTATTTCGTTTTTATATTCACATAACTTCCATATGAACGGATTAAAATGACAAGAAATGAGGATATAATTGTAACAGTTTTCCAGATAATCTAGGAATAAAACTAAAAACATATTCTCGTTGTGGCTGTAGGATTAATTTTTAAATACTTACGTCAGCCATAAACGTGAATTGAGTTAATTGAAGATTAATAGAGAAATCACACAAAATTTAATTCGCCATTTTTCCCCATCATGCTTAAATTGGAACAGAAGTGTAAATATCTACTCCAGTAACTTCATATGTGAATATTTTAAACGCATTCTCTGTTATTTCAGTACCTAATTTTCCTTGATTATTTTTTATTGCGGATTCAAAACCACCGCTACTAATGTAATTACAATAAATATTTTGCGCCTATAGAATTATTATTATTATGATTTAGTTTAAAGCCTTAGTAAGAAATACACCCAATGCTAGTTACTAATTAGTAATGTAATTAACATATCTTCGATAAACTGTATAAATGACAGTTTAAACGTGACGTAAAGTAGGTTTTGTAATGAATCGATACACTCCATAAGTAAATTCGATTGGCAATGTTAATTATAAATTCACCAACACCAAATTTAATCAGAGTCCGTCGATTAATTTCGTGCATAAAAAAACGAATACCCAATACTTGCCCTTCTGCATTCAATGGCTGCACTTCTTACACATAACTCATAAATATTTGCGAGGAATCTCTTTTATTTTAATTATATTCCATAATTTTTAAGACGTTTGCTTTGCGAACGGTGTCTCAGTAGTTGCGTGATTTGTGGTCCAGATTTTGTTTGAAAAGACGGAGTATAAGCTTAGTTCTGGCCTTCATAACGAGGCGATAACAAGGTGTGAGACGTGTCAATTGACAGAGCACATTTTACCAGTGCCGAGTTCAGTACCTAAAATATTATTGCGTTAACTACGTGTACCACCCGCTTTTACGATCGGTGATAATGCGTTTTGCCTACAGAGCGTATTTATGAGATTCATACGGTTCTCATACAGCATTGAGCCATTTGTTCTTGGAATAGCTATTTTTCTTGGAGGTATGCACTGGATATTTTATTGTTGTTGTCATGACGGCCTTGGTCTTAAAAGAATTGACTAACTTCTCAGTTCTTTACTTTTTGGTCAATAACAAAAACACATTTTAAGTCAATAAGATATTGTCAAGAAAGAAGAAGAAACAATCCAATGGAAAGTTTTGCATAAAGAGGAACTTCATAAGTTGAACTTTTTATCCGTTTTATATTATTCAGGTACTTATATTAATGATAAGATTAGCTAATCTGTAGTACGCACGGATATTTTAAAACTTACATACAAAATATTGGGAAACCTCAAGAGAAAAAACAACTGTAGGGAACTAGGAGTAGATGGAAGGATAATATTAAATTGAATATTAAGGGTATGGTGTGTAAACGAGACGGGAGGTGAATTTTTGTCTCATTTGTTTGTACAGAGCCCAGTTATAGGCCTTTTATAACATGGCAATGAACCTTTGTTTCCATAAAATGCGCGGAATTTCTCAAACAGTTGAATAATTAACAGCTTCTCTAGACTCCAGAGAGTTAATCTTCATATTTTGTTCAATGACCTTTATTCTTCTTCTTATGGTCACAAAACTGTGCAAATGAATAATCGGATTTTAATTGAGAATAAGACTTTTATTACAGTAGATATTTTATTATCCGTTTTGGATTTTAAATATATTTTCCCAGATAATCAGCAAACACTCAAATGTAACAAATACGTAAGTTTATTTACAGATATACACTCTTAACTTTTAAATATTTACCAATAACAGAAAGGATTTTATACAAAATGTAATACACTTACATAAAAATCTATTTTTAAAAACGCTCTATCTTCCTAAACTTAAGGTTTCAGCAACAACTGATTTATGTTAATACGTTAAATAACATGTTATTGTTGAGCTCATTAATTTATTTTAAAAACGTTCTAACTTTTACAACACATTTTTTAAATTATTGTTTTAAAATTTCTTTTAAACCAGACTGACCTCGGTTAATCCACCCCCCGGATAATCGGGAGTTTACTATACTTAAACATTTGATTTCTGTAATGTGGATCATCATCTTTTACTTCCTTTTTAAACGTTCTATGACAGTGTTTTCAAAAAGATCCGCTTCCGGAAATAAATAGAGTAATTAATTAAACAGAAAATCACTTCCTTCAGATTCTTTTACCCACGTAATTAAACGACCCGAATCAAAATCTGTTTCTCAAGTTTGCGATCTGTGACCCTCACTAGTGCCACGCTGACCTTGGCCTTAAAATCTAAAACATTTCAATCTCTTGCATTTATTTTAGTGTACGTTATAACAATTTGTTTCTACTAGTATCTGAATTGGTAGAGGTCTATTTTTATTATCCACACAGGAACAACAACTCTGCTCCTTTTTATTCCCTTCATATTGGCGTTATAGTTGGCAACTTTCAGGGGTCGCACGTGGACGCTTTATCACCGCTTTACTGCTACATTCGTAACAAAAACATTTACTGCTGAGAACAGTTACAGCTTTCGCATTAAATTTACGACTATTAGTTGGTGGCGAAATAGAGCTGAATAAGCATGTTTGTCCATCTCAACAGATACATGTTTAAGGGTCCGTTCATTTCTGTTAAAAATGAACAGAATAATGAACATTGCAACCTTCGTGGAACCGAGTGATCGCTCAATAAAATGAAGACTGGACGACCAACCTCAGGTTGTTTATCCTGAATGAATTTTACGCGTTTTGAGATGATACCTTAAAATACACTACAATTTCTCTACGTGGTTTTCAATTCATGATTTACAGTCATTTTTCCATTCAACAGTACAAATTAATTTAGTATGAAAATTATAGTCTTTTGTGATATCATGCCATGTAGACTAATCTCAATTGACCGACGTTTAAGAATTGCTTCCTGCCTCATTATGACCCGCCGATGGATGCAGTGAGCACGTTTTGAAAGTTGGTCAATGTCTACGACTAATCTCCATGGTGATGGAGGCAATAGGAACCTCCGAAACGTCTATCAGATACTTGTTGAGTTTCTCGATCATGTATTTGTTAGACCCATTTCGTATTCAGGAGGTACCACGTTCCAAAACCTACCAGAGAAACTATAAAGCGAATGTGCGTTCTCGTGGTTATACAGGGCTATTCAAAAAGACTGTCGGGGTTTTGTGAATTTTTGTGGGGCAATGCATTAAACATACGACTATTATCATTACACTGGTGGATAGAGAAACTCTCAAAGTTTTGTTCTGTACCGCCCGCCATCCAGTATTTACGCGTTTGGCCGCCAAGTGTCAGCTTTTGCAATATGGCGGCTGACGGTAAGAAGAAGGCTTTTTGTACTCTCGAATATCAGCAAAGTCGGTCCGTTACCATTGTCCAGCGGCACTTCCACACGAAATTTGAGAAGGATCAAGTCTTTGTCCTCCTTCTACCTGCGACTATTCTGGATCTGAAGGTACGTATCAGAGCCGCCATTCTAAACATCACCGCTGACACGCTGGGGCGTGTGTGAAAAGAAATGGACTATCGTGTAGATGTCTGCAGATTGACAGAAGGCGCACATATTGAGCATTTATAATGCATGTACAAAAAAACTTTGAGAGTTTTGCTACAAAATAAAACAAGATTGGTATTCCTACCTCAATTGTACTACGTGTAGTGATTTTTTAAAACCCCGACAATCTTTTTGAATAGCCCTGTACTTACTTCCACCCAGGAAATGCTAGAAGTAATTATATCTTAATACTTCCATAACCGTTTTCTTCAAGACTTATTGAGCTCATCCTTCACAATAATTTCCCTCATATTCAGCGATCTAAATTAGGTAAATGTATTTGAAAATGGGTCTTAAATAAAACAAACCAAGTGCCTGTTTTCCAAGAGAATTTGCCACCAAAATCTCTCAGCATTCCTGGTTTCCCCATCTTAGATATATTAATTTAAGAGAAATAGCGTAATATATAACGAATACTAATTTTGTTTCTGAAAAATAAAACTGTTTATCGTCATCAGCAGCAGCAGTATCTTAATCATCATTGTCGTCTCTGAAACGTCACAGCTCTCATTTAAGCGATATTGGTTGGTAGTAGAAATTTTGTGCTATAATCACAGGAGAATGGAATGTTTCTCTAGCATTTTACTTAATTCCAATACTGACTCTTCTTACGCGGTCTCAGAACTGGCAGATATCACGCGTCATTCCTCTTCACAACGTCCAGCCACATTCCACCCAGCGGCGCCAACACTAGAGACCTGTGGTCAAACTCGAGGGGTATTGGAGTCTTCTGAGACACTCGAACCTCGTACTTTGACAGGAAGCTGACGATGCCCACCTTTGTCTGCATCAGCCCAAACCTCATTCCTGAGAAATACAAATTACAGTTTTTAAAACTTATCATAAATGAGATTAAAGATTCTTACAGGGGCGAGCGTGAATATGATAGCGATTCGTGTAGTCTCGTAGAAGTTAGGCGACGTCTCAGAAGCGCGAACTGCCTCAATCTTCACGATGTATCGACCGAACAACCCATTATTGACCTCGGTACAACACGAGCACTTAGTTTCAAGCTTCAACCGCTTTATTACGCAGGAAAGTTTTCCCAATTCTCATTGTTAACTACTTGTTTACGTGGTTGAATAGACATCGACTACCATTAAATTGACTATTCAAAAAAAATGTTAAATTAGTTACACTACATTTAGGTGAATTTACTTGACAAAGCGAAGTTTCATTTGTTCAAATTGTTTGGATGGAGGAAAATAAAAAATAGAATAATGTAAAGACATTATTGGAATTACGACAAAATTTATGTAAGTTGATACAGACGTAACTAGGCATAACAGTGCTAAATATCAAAACAGGATTTCATGCTAATTGCATGTTCCCAGGAGCGTATAGAAACAGCGCTGTGCGAAATGTCATACATCACCAAAACGTAACTTAAGCTTCACCTTTGACAGGTTGAACAACGCAGTACATATTTTTGAAAATCTTATCCTTTTCCGAGAACATTTTTCTTAAGTTAAGGGGTAAAATTTATTCAAACTTCCTGTCTACAATTGCATTTACCGTTATTATAGTAACACAGAAGTAAATAAACAAATTTTAAATTTACAACATTTTGAAGATAGGCCAATGCAGTACCTGAAAAATAAATGTACGCGAATGTGTGGACTCTGGAATTCTGGGTTATGACACGGCGCATTCATGAAGGCGGTTGCCAACGTGTCGGAAGAATTCGTTGCCTCGTTTATACGGAGCCATAACCCACAAGATGATAATCCATCGTCTTACCTTCGTCAAAAACTCAATTATGACTTTCGCGAATGTAAATGACGACTTCGTTTCGGTAGGTATTTGGAAACAAATGTGAGCTCTATATTCATAAAAATATGGCACATTCTGAAATTTATTTTATATAGAGATTGTCATAATTGAGAGGTGTCTTGAAATCGGAGCAAAGAGTTTAAGAAAATCGTACAAATAATTAAATTTAAATTAGTATTATCGGAATCTATGTGTCGAATGCTAACACAGTGACCTATATCCGTTTGATCCCTCACGTATGAATAATTAATAAAGGCAAAAATAACATACCTATGCAGATTCTAGGTCCCTCTCCAAAAGGAAGGTAGGTAAAGTGTGGTCTCTTCTTCTTCTCAACTTCGCTGAAACGTTCTGGATCGAACCTTTCTGGGTCAGGGTAATACTTTGGGTCGTGATGTATTGCCATAATGGGAAACAGAAGTTTTGTTCCTTTCTCCACCAGCACATCAGTTCCGTGCAGTTTGACTGACTTTGTGCATTCTCTACGTATAGTCGTGGCGGGCGGATATTTACGTAACGTTTCTGTAGGAACATAATTAAAAATATGAAGAATTGTACAAGCATTGATTATTCCTCTTCCTTCTAGTGCGTAAAGACAGTGTCAGTAGCAAACATATAATTAATTATTTTTATTTAGATTTAGTTATAGCCTAGATGCAGTTTCACATAATTAAATATGAATGTGACTTTATAATGATGACTCGTGTAAATACGAAGATAAATTTGTATCAAAGAATATGTGGGGCGATAAATAGAGTATTAAAGCGGTAAGCAAGGCTTTTAAACCTGTTACGAGTTTCATTTCCTTTGATTGAGGCCGTTAATTTTTGTATAATATAGACAACGTATAGTTATTTTCCTGAAAATCTTCCCATTTTATTTTGGTCTGAAATGAATGAAGCAATGAAGCGGTGTATTCAAATCAACAGATTTTGTCTTCTTACCATCCACCACTTTGTCCAGATACTCCATCTCGAAAATGGATTCGTAGGTGATGTTTCCGTCATGTTTCTCCACCACTGTATCGATTTCAGCCCGGAGTCGCTCCTGGATATCTGGATTCAGCGCCAGTTCGTACAGGCAGAAAGTCATTGTGGTTGATGACGTCTCGAAGCCGGCGAGAAAGAACACAAACGCTTGGGCCGCTATTACATTAACTGTTATCTCTGTAAAGTGACGAAATTGTATTAAGTAAAATTTTGAAAGTAATGATAACAGAATTTCTCTTATTTTCTACTAAATTAGAAAAAATACAATTAAAAAGTGTAAGAAAATCATGCCATCTTGAAAAATAATATTATATATGTATAAAGTGGTTGTGTTTTTGAACATATAAACAAGCCAGTTTCTGTCATTGTAATTTATATGACCCAGGAAGGGCATAGTGTTGATTAATTTCGTGTGGCATGATTAGTGAATATACCTTAGTAAGAATTCCTCTGTAAATATTTTTGCTGATGCCTAATGATAGTATAATATGATATTCTGTCCCGGCGAGACAAGAAAATAACTGGCTTTCAACCTTAAGTATGGCAGTAAAGTGGTGGAATGTGGAACACGTTGGCTGCCGTGAAGGTCACGGGTGGATTTAATTTCAGTACCGCGAAAATCATTGTTTGGTCACGTTAATCTTCTATAAATGGAGGTTTAAGTTTCATGGAGTATAAGAATAACATATTTCTAACACTACAGATGGGAGAATAAATATGCATGAGGTTCGTGAGAGCCACAGTAGTGTCACGCGGTCAATGCAGCAATGTTTCTGAGTTCGTATTTAATAACCTGTCTAAGGTTAGAGACACGGAACAGAACTAAAATATGGCAAAAATCGCATGGTTAGCAAAGTGTTAAATATTGTCAAATATATTAAATTTGATTGAAACGACATCAGACTGCAACATTTCCTCACTAGCACTGATAAAAATTATACTACTGCAGAGTACCGATTGTCGGACTTAAAATGGTCCGAAGGACGGTCGGATAAAACGGAATGTCGGATAATCGAGATCTACTGCATAGAATAGAGCTCATAGATCCCCGGATGATCAAAGAGTGATGATTTTAATATGGAGTGAAGACGTCGGGGTTTGCTTTAAGACAATGGCCGTATTTGCCTGGATGTAACGATAAAATTAATTAAAAATTCGGTCAGGATAACCGGTCGTTGATCGGAATTGTGAACCCAGGACCGCACAAATACGAAGCAGAGAAAAACATTCAGTCTAATATTTAAATATTGTACCTTATTCTAGCATATTTAGTTGTTAAATTTATATGAGAATATATTAGTAACGCTCACCAAATGGGGCGTTGTTCTCAGTTTCATCTGCGTCCAGGTTTCCCAGCTTTATGTTGTCTTCTTCAGCTACTCCCAGTGTTTTGTTTTTCAGTTGTATCATCAACTGCATAAAATCATTTCGCTTCACGTCATTCTTTTCGCGGTACTCCACGGTTTCCTTCACCATCTTCATGAAATAATCAGTGACGCCTTTCGAAAGAAAAGACGATCTAAAGAAACGACTAGATGACGGCAGCAAAAACGTTATAGTTCGCAATATTTTTCCTGAAAAAGTTGGTTCAAAAATTTTTCTTCCCCAGATACGGAACTCAGCATCGGGATTTTTCAAACAGTTGCACTGAATTCCAAAAGCACAAGAGGCTATGATGTCTGTACTGAATCTTGCTAAGATATCCTTTACCTCTATTGTTTCCTTGTTATTGGCTGGTTCCTGAAGAAACGTCTGGAGTTCTTTTCCACAATCCACCATTGTTCCAAACATCATCTTCATCTTCCCAGACGTGAATGTTGGGCTCAGTTTAACTCTCAGATTCCTCCATTTTGATCCAGACAAGGCAAACAAATTACCTTGTAATGGTTCCACCTCTTCGTTTGTTATAATTCCATGACTGTGAAACTTATTGAAATCTTTCACAAGGACAGCTTTGATAATTTCGGGGTCACGAATAAGGAGTGCAGGACTACTAAAAGAATATACCCCTCCAAATCTCTGTCCATCAAAATCGTTGTAAAATTCATTGATTACTTGTTGAAAGCTCTTTTTTGTCAATATGGCTTTACCGAAATCTCCGAATGGAGCTGTGGGATTCAAAGTTGGGACACCACGTTTTTTCCAATACAAGAATGACACTCTGAAGTACACATAGACAGTAGTCAGAATAGTTGCTATGGTTACCCACAGCTGGAGGAATGGTATATCCAGCATCCTGGATGTTATAAATTTCAGCCAGTCACCTGTGGAGAAGAATAATATGATAAAATAAAGAAAAGGTGCGGAAATACATGTAGTCCCCTCAAGTTCAATTAAATACAAGCTGAAATTCTTAAATACTTGAATGCTCTAATTTTAATGTGAACCTACATGAATAAGTTGTATATTTCCGTATAACAAAATGTATTTGTCACCTGCAACTAAATAAGACGATTTTGAGACCTGTACCTTCATTATATTGCCAAACCCTGAATAATAAATATAATTAATATAAAATCAATCTTAGCTGCCTCATTATAATTGTTACACCCTTGAACGAAACATTCACATCTGCAGAGCTAATTTCTAATAAGTATAACACTGAGTTCCAGGTAGAATCATAAAGCGTACTTTTCAATAACACAATTTTCTAGTCGTTGATATCTATTATTGATATATGAAGGCGATGCAAATTTATAACTTACTAGCGAAATGTAGTGTACCTCTAGAGTTAGCTCATAGGATCGTATGGAGATTGTCATACAATTGAATCCCACTTGAATCGCATTATTTTATTATTGATTATGTTTAAAGTATGTTTCAAAATAGTATTATTACTGTCTTCACTCTTTGTTATTTTTAAATGTTGCAGAAAACTTTGTTACTTACAAGGAAATTGAAATTTTGGAGAACATAACCTCAAATTTCTAGCGTAGCCACTAATTTTTTAGTTACAAATAATATGGCGTGCATATTTTCGGGTTTGTTTATGACCTGTCTCCATACTTAATTTCAAACTCTTAGCACCAACAATTCCGTAGTTATCGCTGTTAAAATAAAGCTAAAGAAAGTTTTCGCGTGGTTTTACATTCTCACTGGTTCTATTAACGCACGTGTATTTTTATTGCCTAATTATAAAGTAAGATTTCATCTCACATATTCTCGACTTTGCTATGCTATTATTACTAACAGTAGTTAATTAAAAATTACGAGGTTTTTGGAAGTCCGAATGGGATAACGTTCGTATCAAGTTTAGTGAAAATCGGTCAAGTGTTTCAATTCAGAATTTGGAAGGGAGCCTGTAACAAAACTAGTGACAGCATGGTGATTTAGTAAGCCTGTATTCTTTCCTTAAGAAACGAAAATAGCCCTTAAACGCATTCAGTATATTTGAGGCTATTCAGCTCTGTAAAAGTAATTCCTTGTTGACTTTTAATAATTCCATCTTTTGTGAAAATAACAGACCGTTCTATAATGTCTGTTGTTTTGTGATAGCTACAGTGATTGAAATGTGTCTCTGATGTACTGTACCTCAAGTTTTATTTTCTCTGTGGCATGTAGACCTATTTGTAACTGATGTAACGCCTTCAACACTGTGTATTCAATACTGATTGTCCTGCATTGAGTTCCAATTTCCCGAATGGAAAAGAGAGTTTCTTGACATCGTATAAATACCCGAGATTATGACAGAAGTCACACAATGACAAATTAAAGTGTCTTCTTATCTTAAGTACATATGAATGCTATTCGGAGTGCGTACATTTTGTTTATAAGAATGAATCAGCAGTTTTACCAGTTGCGTTACAAATAACGTATTTAAACAGTAAACATCGACTTTCGTTTTATACGATAAATTGGTACAGCAACAGGGGCAAAACCTGGATCAAGCAAAGAAATTGCCTTAATCAGATAATTCACCTGGTATCGTAAATATGACTTGAGATTTTATGTAAAATCATCTCAAACAATTACGAAATGTTCAACTAGGAAAGGGAAAGTAAAACGATAATCTAAAATTCTTCAACGCTGAAGATAGAGAAAATATGTTCCCCCAAACCGTTGGTATGAACAAATCCACGCCTTTATTACCCAGACGAGTAACAGGGACAGTGGACATTTATTTACAAAACATGCAGTTCCTTCATTTCAGAACAGCGGAGCTAAGCAGTTTTATACAGGTCTGCGTCGTCAATCAATCTAGTTTACGTCTTCGCGTGGTATTAGTCCAAGATCTATTTTAACGTTGCGCCTGCAGCTATAACACTAGTTGCATCTTCAGCAGCCGTTTTAAAACCCCAGCCCAGACTGTATATGTACATCTGCATTTCCCCACGGAACAACATATGTAAAACCACGTGTGAAACTACAGATATGTATACATTGTTTGTATTTTAATATCTGACGTTTTCGAAGTGAATAATAGACTAATAGCAAGAATTTTCTGACCCTAACACTTTAAAGCCTAGTGGTAAATATCTGTTCCTCCTGCTTCACAATCTATAAGTCTGCGTTTTTTAAAAGTCTGATTTTCAGTTCAATTAGCGATTATTTCATTAAACAGTGTCAACAATCTGATCTTCTAATTACTGAAGTGTTGTCTTATTTGTGGTACGGGCTGAATTATTAGATAACATCAGTGACCGCTGTGCTAGTGTCTGAGCCACATTGGTGATCTGAGCGACCGTGGCGACATATACGAGTCAACGTTGGACTTGTAATTCTACTTCAACTAACATGTTAAATATATATTATTTATGAGATGGTAAAGTTGCGTCATATTGTGATATAATAAATATATATTATTTAAATCTTGTCCGTCTAATCACAATAAATTCTTATTAAATATTAAAATATTATATTAATTAACATTTAAAATATTTAAAATATTAAATGATGTTCTTTATCGAAATATTCGATTTACATTAGACCATCATTTTTCACGACATGTTTCAGTTCCTAAAAGAACTATCTTCAGGTGTATATAATTATATAAAGATTCAAATCAATAATAACTTAAATACAATTTCTTAAATACAATTTCAAAAATATTAAATTTATATTATATTCTATATGTTAAAGGCAGAGGATTTATTCCATAAAGTTTAAATTGTATTTCTCGCGTATCTATTGCGTCCACCAGTGATAAAGTTATCTTTCTTGAATATGAGCTTGGTAACGGTAGTTAATTTTTAAAAGTCATTCCTTTATCAGTTCAGAGATACTTAAATTTCATTTCATGCATGCAGTAACGTTTTTGAATAACACATGTGATTTATTTTATCACTACCATCATGGTTTCTTGTAGTCACTAGTTATTAACGCTCCGACCATCTTCGCTTTTGTCTTTACTGGACAGTAACCACTGTTTCACCTCTGGCTGGCGCTAACCCTATCAGAATTGACGAATACAAATAAAACTCCTGAACACCAGAGCACAGACCATCCAGGTCGTAGCCAGTAGACATACCTCTAATAAAACTCCTTATAATCTAGTATGTAAATAATTAGGTCCTTTTCCATATGGAAGATAGCTGAAGTATAAGATTGAGTATACGTGTTTTTCACGATAATATAATTATTATTATTATTCTGGCTGTTGATACATCACGCTAATAATAAATAATTAAATTCAATTGTAATTGACTTTGTCACAACTTTAAATACAACGATTTGGAAACTGCTTTTGTCAGACCCATATATTGGGACTTCTTTGTTTGTTTGTTTGTTTGTTGTAGTTTCCAGCGAAATATGAACGTTTTCTATTGTCACCTGACAACGTAAGCATTCAGGTTGCGAAACGTTGTCTTATGATCCCCCCCCCATACCTTAAACAGGATGAATTAGTTGTCATTACCCACTGAATCAACATCACAATGAAGAAAGGCTGGAAGAACTTCGTCTCAGAAGATTTTCTTGCATGATTTTCGTAATGTATGAATGTAAATACAGACATGATGTGTTGCCTATGACTTGTTATCTTGAAATATCCATGTTGTAAACCAAATATGTCGCTCAGAATAACTGGGCTCTTCTCTAAAGGTTCTAGAATTTTTCGATTGTGATTTCCTTTGTATAATAAAATCAGTCCATATTTTTTAAAAAAAATATTCCGAATTCTTGGTGAAATTAATTGTAATAGCATTTAACTACGTTGTCTCAACTGTACACATAGTAGCGTTGAACAAATTGGGACCTAGTGGAGAATATTAAAATAGGTAGCTGAGGCCCCAATTAATGTGCCATCCCAGAATTCGTTTGCATATAAGAGTAAAGTCAGGAGAATCCACCAGTAACCAAGTCATGTTTGAAATCAATCACTAATGTAAGTCTCGGGCTTTTCTCTACATCAGCTTGTTCGGAGAAGAGGTGTGAAGAGAGAATTAAAAATGAAACGAAGAAGAATGAGAACTAGATGAATTAGAAAATTAATATAATATAAGAGAAGAAAAGAGGAATTTATAAGGAAGGAAAGTAGTAAGAAAGGAAGAAAAGCGGAGTGTAGTGAAGATAAGATTTGTTTGCTGGTTTGTTTGTTTTTTTAAATTAATTTCCAGAAGTTTTACCGCAAGTCACGATGCGTTTCCACTTAACGTTTGACGCAGCAACTGTTGAACTGTCACGATGATTTTCAACTCTCGTATCTTGCATGTGATAAAGTTCAACGATTGTAATTTTTCTGATTTGTAGTTCAAGGGAAGAGCACGACATGCAGCTATGAGCATCCTTGTAGGAATTGCTGGTAATAATTGAGAAATATAGCATTTTGAGAGAGACACAACACAAACAGTATTTTATATAAAGACACATCTTTTAAGAATACGCCTCTTAGGGATGTCATGTCAGACTGTCACTTCGCCCGATCGTCTATTCGCATGTTACAAGTCGAGAAGGAACTGAACGAATTTACATGGAATTTGGTACTAGAGACTTGTACTGAAATGAGTTGTCACGCTCCAATATTGATTAGAATCGGACAATAACACGAAGCTTTAGGAACATAATCAAATAAGAAGAAGAATTTGTTTTCCTTGTGCGTAATGTCAAATTGTCGTTAACAGACACATGCAGAAATCTTATATGGCCTGATGAAACATTGGTGAGGGCATATTTATATTTAACCGCTTTTGACTTGAATTTTCTATGATGGCGAGTATGAAGATGGCTGCCTTGTGGGTTGTAGCGCTGTGTAGTCTGGTAGACGTTTCAGAGGCTGAAGACATGTCTGAACGCCTATAAACTCGTACCAGAATACGAAAAAAAAACCCAGAAGGCAATCATCTTCAAAAGAATAGTTTCTTATGACATGTGGATAAAAAATAAATACATATTTGAAAGTTTAATATTGGGCTACACCATAAAAAAGAATTTGATAAACCTGCAATATATGTTCTTCATTTATATTGCAGACCAACCTCTGTACCTATGTAATGCAAGAGGCAAAATTTTAAGTCTGATTTTTTAAGTTTCGCCAGGGATAGGAGAATATAAGTTTAAACTTTAAACATAAATGCAGTACTTTATTCTAGAAACAAGGTATACAAAATAAGTTTTAAAAATCTAATTCCTCCCTTATTCTGAGTGTTACAGAAAGTTCCCATTTCTATATACGAATAACGCTATGTTTTTGTATGGATTTACTGTTCATGAATTAATACATTTAGTAAACCAACAGACTATTATATTTTGTGCTAAATTGAGTTACTTTTATTATGTCTATTCACAATTTTAAGCCACATTCCTCCGACAGTGGATAATATGAAGGTTCGCTGGTCAAGTACTGGCGGTACTGTGGTCCTCTCTGAAACCCTCACCTCGTAGTTGGCCAGGAAGCTGATGATGCCCACCTTGGTCTGCAACAGGCCGAACCTCATTCCTGGAACGTAAAAGTATCAGGCTAGTAGTCGACTACGATTTCGAATCTCTTTTTTAGCATCTTTATATCTGTGTAGGATTTGAGGTTTTCACATCGGTGAGTCTGAAGATTACTGTCTTCTGGGTTCTTGCGCCGTGTAGTCTGGTAGATTTCCACCAACGTTTCAGAGATCATACTGCCTCTGTCATCAGGGCGATGAATTCATTCAGACTACACGGCGCAATAACCCAGAAGACAGCAATCTTCATCTTAAAATCTCTCCACATTTTGTTTGCAGAGAGTTTTGTGGCGTCTAAATCACGTAAGTCCTCGTTTATATACCTCATGTTTAAGATTTCTGCTATTAAGATTAGAAATTTTTACCACGTTCATTATTATTCTGAGCAGTACAAAATTTCTCTCACGTAAAATCCCATACGAGGATTTGCAGTTGTCTGTAAGAATTTGATAGAATCACTTCTGTTAAAAATTGCCAGACCTATCGTATAAAGTTACTAATCTATCTGACACATAAAAGTATCTGGTAATGAACTTAGCAAGGTACACATTTACGATAATGAGGTGTCAATGACAGTGGCCACACTGTCCAAGTAGTGCACATTCTTGTATTCCTCGGACATTGGTACCGTTGATTGGAAAACCACTCGAAATATTAATATTCTGTGTTGTGCTGTCCCGTGTGTGTATAGGCACCTTGCAACACGCCGATACCCCGTTCAGGAAGTCCTACTCGAGTTCCTAAAAAGCTCTAGTTTCTAAAGTTAATTCCGCATTGGAACAGGCTAAAGGGCCCAGTCTCTTAAAGCTATATGAAAAGAAAAAAAATAATATATTAGCGACATGTTTCGATGTGAGAAGCCGTCATCAGGGAGCGTTTTCATCATACTTTGGTTGAGGTCTTTAATTACAGAGCTACAGTATGTCAAACGTATAGTAATTAACCTCAAGACAGCGTTAAGAAAAACATGTCGCTCGTTCATTATTTTATTATCGTATCTCTGTGCATTGCTACTTAGTCTATTAAGAAAGTGGTTTTCTTTTGTCAGACGGATTAATACTTTAATTTGTCCGTAATTTGCACTACAAGATGCTAAAACTCGTCAAAATTATCAGAAAGAGACTTAACCTATGCAGATCCTCGGTCCTTCTCCAAATGGAAGGAAGCTAAACGGCGGTCTCTTCTTCTTCTCTTCTTCACTGAAGCGCTCAGGGTCGAATCTTTCAGGGTCAGGGTAGTATTTAGGATCGTGATGAAGCCCTAATACAGGTAGCAGCACTTGTACGCCTTTCTCCAAAGTGACGTCAGTTCCTCGAAGTTTGATCGACTTTGTGCAGTCTCTGGTAAGGGAAATCAAAGGAGGGTACTTCCTCAGCGTTTCTGTTAAAATAAAACATATTTTAGTACGTAAAATCTTTGACTCCACTTGTATTCTTTGCGTGTGCGTTAGACTTAGGTCTTTCATACTTGTGTGCTCAGATATTCTCGAACCTTTACCAATGTTTAATACTTTATATTTGTAATGCGATAAAATTTATTAGCCTGGATATCTTATTCGGTAAAGTGGCTGAATGACTTGAATTCGAATACCAGCACGGAACCTATTTTCCAGGTTCCTTCCTCCTTTCATATATTCCTTTATATTTTAGGTATACAGTTTCAGAGTTTATTTGCCGTTATGTTTGTTAGTCTCGGTTGCATCGCCGATTGTACTTTCAGGCAGATACCGACGTTTCGGTGGAATTTTGCCTTCATCCTGAAGTTGAAATTAGTATGTCTATAAATCCACACAGCGTTACAACCTAGAGGACCAACAACAACATCTTTGCCGTCATGATAACTGCAGATTTGTTTCATTTAGAATTGTTCTGAAATTACGATACACGAATAAACGGAATTAAAATGAGATCCTTGTTCTTCTTTCCTGCGTAAAGATCCCCTTGGATTGCGTAGAACGTTTAATAATTTTGTTACACTTCTCCGCCTTTTTATAACGTTTCTGTTTATTATTAACTTGTCTGCCAACAGAGTTTAAGGTCATAAATCCCGACAGTGTCACAACATGGCCGGCGCGATAGACGACCCAAAAGTCGCGTGGGACGGAATATTTTAGATTTTTTGTGTGTATGTTTATGTACGTGTTTGGTGCTTTATATTATGTTTTTGTCGCATTACATGTATGTGGACCAACAATTAAGGACATAAGCCAGGCTTTTCTATGAGTATTATTCAGTTTTTCACTACAAACCCGAGACTGCCTTTTTTATTATAACTAGCGCAAAGCGTTACTTTCGGAGCTCCTTTCGTCTATCAACTGTCCACTTACTGCTTCTCTAGTTTGACTAAACTAGTTTTGTAATGAAATTTACAGTAGCTGTTAATCAACACACATTAGATTGGAGTTAGTCCCTATAATAATGTGGTAATGAAGCATTATTGTTTTTCATTATGTTATTTTATGTAATATATTCTCTCACTTTTATAAGTGTGCAGTTTTCAAAAATACGTCTCGAGAGAAACAGCGTGTACTAGCCTATGTACATGTGATAATTATGGCACGTCTTATTATGCTGCGTTGTGCCACTTTATCTGATGGAGACAGCAAATACCTCTGAAACGATGTTGAACGTCTATCAGACTACACGGCGTTATACACCGGAAGACAACCATCTGTTCTTTTTTAACGTTGAATAACGTTTATAAAATCACGGTACACTCGACGGAAACTGTAAGACGTAAGGTAACGCTGGTGTGTAACTTCTTCAAACGCAAATAACTCGAGACCTATGTAAGATATAGAATATAAACCTATATGTAAATTAACGAGTAAATAAAGGGTTTTTTCTACATGATGTTTACTTTATTCTACAATGCATATTTTACACATTGTTGAAATAATTACCCAAAACATGCAATAACTATAACCTCGTTCCTTAACTTCAACCGCTTGCCACATCTAAAGCGTAAGAGTTAGATCAGGACATATTGCGAGTGAAATACGTAAATAAACACGAGCTTTTCAAATTTGCAAACAGATTTCAGCTAACTCTTACGGTTTAGGAGTTTTGGCCATTTATTTGGTAACAAAGAACTGTTCTAGAGTGAGTGTGTTGAGTACATGACGCAACATATAGATAAGCTGTCGACGGATGACGTCACATATAGATAAGATGTAAAGGTATACATTAATGTGCAAATAAAATTTTATTTTAGTATAAATATACTTCTACAGTTAAACGTTATTCAACGTTAACTAGGGAACCGTGGTTCCACTCTCATTTTTTTTCTCATTCTTTTAGATTGTAAACCCCTTCCATTTCACACAATATTAGAGGTAAAATAAACATGACTCTTCGTAGAAAGGCGATTGACTTATAATGCTAGACTAGTCCTCTTATCTATATTTACTTCCTGAGACAAACATAAAAAAGATATGTAACGGCAAAAGTAATCTTTGGTCTAAATTAACTTCTCTTGGTTTGAATAAGACGAGGTCTTCACTTTTCATACCTGCATTCATAGGCGTGACCACAGATTCAGAACACAAGTATATTTTTCTCATTAATTAGGACTAATGATGAGGTTTCTTTGTATGTTCGTTCAGTGAGATTTAAGCTCTATTTAAAGCTCTGTAATACCGAGTTCTTTCTCGCGAGACCATCTGGCTAAATGTCGCTTCGAAATATAAGCTACAGGTTAAAGTAATAACCCCCTCCCCTGTACTCCTGATCAAAAACTCTGTCCCATATTTCCGGCCGATCCAGAAAGATACTAATGGAAGCTATCGTGGAATAATTGAAGGTACTGCCCCGGAATTTATCTGCAGGGACTGGGGAAAACCACAGAAAGCCTCAGTCAGGGTAGCCGGTTTTCGGGCCTAGATTTTAAAGGGCGGCCGCCCTGGAATACAAAGCAGGGTTGCTGACATGTCCACCACGACGTTCGGTCGTAAAAATTTGTTGGTTTTAGATTGTATGCATGGAAAAGTATAAAGTCGCCGGTGCTTAATTAAGCACCACGTCATGCAGTCGTATGGTGAAGTTCAGGTATAGCTCCTTGCAGTCTTGACCTCGACACTAGATGGCGGTGAGTGATGATTTTCACGTCCCGGGCGCTTTACGCTGAGGATAGAACCCGCTGGATAGAAATTGGGTTTACCCTAGATACGGAGTGGACGTTGTGGCGAAGAAAAAGTTCCTGGCGGCCGTGAATCGAAAACCGGATGTCCAGCGTAGCCTAGGTACTGTACTTTGTGTGTGTGTGTATTTTTTACGTATGTATCTATTTATGCCTGGGACCCACCCAGCCTCCTCTACAATGGGTACCGGGGTCTTTTCGGGGGGGTAAAGCCGGCCGGGGCGTGATGCTGACCACTCACCCCCATCTAGTGCCGAGGTCAAGAAAGGGAGGAGCTATACCTCCTCTCACCCCAAGCGCCTACATGGCACATAGCGGGACAAACTTTAATTTTATGTATTTATGCATGAATGTATGCATTTACTCTTACGGAGTAAAATAACAGTATAATCATAACGTAATATTTGCATACTGTTATTCCTGATTGGTTATCCAAGAAATGATTTAGTTCAAACATTTTATTTCATTCGCCACTTTTTCATCAGCTTAGCATCTTTTCTGGTTACTTTATATTTTCATAAATCTGCCGACGCTAATCGAGTTTTATGCACAATTTGTAACTGTGATTCTCTCACCATTCACGACCTTGTCCAAGTATGCCATCTCGAAAATGGATTCGTAAGTGATGTTTCCTCCATGTTTCTCCAGCACTGTATTGATTTCAGACCGGAGTCGCTCCTGGATATCTGGATTCAGCGCCAGTTCGTACAGGCAGAAAGTCATTGTGGTTGATGACGTCTCGAAGCCGGCGACAAAGAACACAAAAGCTTGTGCCGCTATTACATCCATTGTTACTTCTAAAAGATAAAAATACTAGATGTAGAAATAAATTATCTAAACACGGTTGATAAAGATGTGCTTTACTTTGATTGCGGAGCTGGTAATAAATTAAGAAAGTGGTATAAGTAATTGTTAGGTGTTCAGTACAGAAAATTTAGAAAGGGGTACACGACTTCGTTAATTGCATTTAAAAATAAACAACTTCTAACGTCTTTCTGTAAGACTCTAGTTGCTTTAATAAAAACAGAAATCATATCATTAACAAAATCTCTGATGCACAAAAGGAGGCTGCTTATTACTCACCAAATGGTGTATTACTACTCTTCAGTCCGTCAGTTTCTTTCTGCAGGGTCTTCACGTCTTCCTCCTCTGCTACATTCAGTGTTTTATTTTTGAGTTGTATCATCAGCTGCATGAAATCATTTCTCTCCACGTTATTTTTTTCACGATATTCCACAGTTTCCTTCACCATTTTCCGGAAGTAGTTACTCACTTCTTTTGGAATTAAGGACACTTTTAAAGTGTAAACTAATGAAGGATACAAAATGTTTAGAATGGAGGTCAGTCTTTGTCTAAAATGCGGTTCAAATACTTTTCTTCCCCAGTTACGAAACTCTGCGTCCGGATTCTTCAAACAGTTGCACTGAATTCCAAATGCACAAGAAGCTATAATATCTGTACTATATCTTGCTAGGATATCCTTTACTTCAATTGTTTCTCCGTTATTGGCTGGTTCCTGAAGAAAATGCTCAAGTTCTTTCCCACATTCGATGACCGTTCCAAACATCATCTTTATTTTTAGTGTTGTGAATACCGGAGTCAATTTCACCCTCAGGTTTCTCCATTTCGTCCCTGATAATGCAAACAAATGTCCGTCCAGCGGTTCATATTTCTCATCAACTACCCTTCCGCGACTGAAGAAATGATCAAAGTCCTTGACAAGAATATCCTTGATAATTTCGGTGTCTCGCAGAAGAAGAGATGGACCAGAGAGTCTGTAGACTCCTCCGACCCTGTGGCCATCAAAAGCTTTGTATAGTTCTGTTATTTCGAATCCAGGGTTCCTTCCTAATAAGATGGAATCCCGAAAGTTTCCAAATGGAGCTTTAGGTTTCAAAGTGGGAATACCACGTTTTTCCCAATAGGAATAAGATATTTTGAAGTACAGATACCAAGCAGCTAGGACGACGCAGATGACAGCTCCTAGCTGCAGGAGCCAGGAATCGAGTGCCCCCAGCATCCTTCAAAATCACGGATCTCGGATCCTGTTACTGGAAGGAAGAATAGATAAATTGCAGATGAACTTGGTCTCAGTCGGTATGTTTTTTTTTCTGAAAGAAATTTCTTCCTGTAATTCATTTAAAATTAAAAATTATAAAATTGTGTTTGTAACTAAAGTGTGATTGAAAAATAACGTAACCTATTCCTGGGACTTATTCTATTTGTCAAAAAATAAATTACATTGAAATCAGAAAACAAATACAAAAGTTGTGTTAACTGTTGGAAACGTCCACCGCCTTCAGCTATGCATTCACTTTTATCCTAATTTTAATGCAACACGGTTAGTGCTTCTGCAGTGACGTTTGAAATGCACAGCTTACTCCATATTTTGACTATTAACATATCGTCTTAGATGGAACCATGCTTTGACAAGAAATAAAATTTTATCTTATATGTCCACGTCCCTTCGAATGAAACGTTTATACCATTTGCAATGCTGAAGTTTTACGCTATCAAATTGAGTTTGTGCATAACGTGTACGTGATATGGATGAAGTGTGAAAATATTTTTTGTCCTCATGTGCAAGTCCGTAAATAATTCGCTCTGAAGAGAAAGATTTCTCATTGACTCGTGGAAAGCGTAACAAAATTTGATACATATCGTCTAAACTATCGCCACTTGACATCGAAGGTTTACCGGAACGGTTTCTGCCCTGCAAGCTTCCTGTGTCACGGAAACTATTCACCAAACGAAATACTGTAAATGCTTTGCAGAGGAGAGTCGAGAAACGTATCCCTAAACAAATTCTGGCAAGTTACGTAAGAACGAGATACCAGACAGCGTTCGACATTGGACCCTCCTTGTAATCGTGAAAAAGATATCCTTGCAATGGACTGGGGTGAGCAGGTTTCAATATGACATGACCCTCGTGAGGTCTTGTATAGTCACAACGACGTTGTGTTTATGAATCAAAATTAATTGTTTTGAGTGGCAACCATCAATAAATATTTTAATATGTGTTGTATGACTTTTCGATCAGTCTGTAGGGTACTAGTATCGCAAAAAAACTTTTTCCATTAAGGTAGCGAGGGTTGGGCGCGGTCTAAAAATTGTTCACTGTAAAAAAAATCATTAAATGTGTCACAGAGCCCGGATTTAATCTTATTTTTACGAGCTAAGTAATTTCCCTGTCTCGGGACAGGGATCAGTGTGACATCTCGCGAACACAACAATCAACCTTCTGTTCCATTTCAAAATTTGAAAACGTTTGCAAGAAATCTGGTAAAACTTCGTTCTTAGAAATCTGGCTCAACCAAACTGAAACAAAGTTTTATTTCTGCTTATTTCAGTCAGTCTGGATTTTGAACTATGTAAATACTGAAATCAGTATGAAGTTGAATACTAACGGAGAAACACACAATTTGTTTATGAGGATTTCTGTGAGTAGGGGCTTTCAGTCTGAGTGTCGAGTTGCATTGTCAGGTTGACATGACATTCCTCGGTGTCTGGATAAAGGAAGTGTAAATCCTGAGTTTCGGGAAACGGGAAACAGTTCTTGGCTTGTACTCACAAATCATGTTTATTGCTTTCTTTTAAACTACATAATTGAGACATGGACTTCAGGTTATTACTTATGATGTAAATATAATCATTTCTCTAACCTACACAGATTAAATTTACCTTGTAGTATTTTGTAGTCTCTCGTTCCAGGTGTAAGTCGTGTTAACATAATAGGCTGATTGTACATGGTCCTTATAGAGAAATTCAGGTAAAAAATATGTTATGCTTTATACCAGGGTTGTGTAACTGTGTTTACTGAGGGTCACTTAAGGACGCTGAAAATTCCGTGGGTCATTACATAGGTAGGAAAAATTATTACTGCCTGCTTTTACGAATTTGAACCCGACGTTAGGCGGACACAAAATTCTGTACACGGAACTCATTAAGTAAATGCTAATTCCAGTGTTAATCTTAGGCTGAATTTTTTCCTATATTTTCCCCTAACACACACAAACCAGAAGGTCATTGAAATACATTCACACTGCATTTAATTGATGTCAGCGGTAAACACGAGGCTACTTGAATTACATTCGGAGCTTACCAGTCGAACGTCTGTAGGTTCTCGTTTGTCTCCTCTTCTAAAGACACTGGTGCATTTACACGTGTGACGATCACACACTGAAATAAAATCTGTGAATCACCAGACGTAAGAAGAAGTGGATTTATGGTCATTCGTACAAACCCTTTGGCCAAAAATCCCTTACCGTGACAGCGAAATATTTTATGTACAACACACACATGTAGCCATAAGCATTATCCTACCATATAAGATGCGTAAAAGTACATGGGCAAACAGTTAAGTGATAAAATTTATCGAATAATTCTGCAAGTGGGTAACAGAATTAGATGTCATATTCTATAATTCTTAGACTCCTTAACTTAATCGTATACCATTTTCAACATTTGAACTAAGACAATTATTACTTACGTTATCGTAGCTTTTCCTGATACCGATTTGTGTTCACTGCAGCTGTATGCTGTTCACTAAACTGTATGCATGTCTAATATTCTTACCACATGTGACCTGTGACGCATTATCCCATATATATATAATGAGCGTTCCGTTTTTGATAAGCATGTTATATTTACAATAAGTGACTAAGCATATTCTGTACTTGGCATAGTAACAACAACAACAAAATTTTGACTGCTAATTAATTACGTCTGAAAATTGAAAACTTTAGACTTTTCTGCTATATTTCTGATGTAGCCAGCCAAAACATATTACCCTTTGAACAATTCTTGCTATTTTCATAAAAATTGGTACAGTATTTATGTCATTAAAGTCGACGCGAACTGCGTTTTAACGTCTTCAAAAATATTCACATATACGTATTTCAAGATGTTTTATCTTAATCTTATTTGATACTAGATTTAAAGAGGCTTATATTTCACTGAACCTTGCAGCTTCAAGTTGAAACTTAAGAGGTTAAGTACCCTTTACGGTTTACTTTTCTCATCAAGTTAATTAAAAATGTATGCAGAAGATTAATCTGATATGCATGTTGTTCGAAACGTCAAGTAATAGTTATTGTAGACATGTGATATTATGGTATTTTTGTGCATTTGAATTTTAAGATTGTTATAAAAAAACAAGTAATTAAACGGCAGGATTTGAGGTGTTTACGGCGATGAGACTGAAGTCTTCTGGGTTGTTGCGCAGTGTAGTCTGGAAGACAGCCATCCACCTTATATAACTTAAATGATAAGAAAGATAGGCAGTAAACTGTAGGTCAGATTTTGCACGTTATTTCAAGGAACGACTATGAATAATTATAACATAGTTACTGTAAATCGTTTTATATTTCAGGAACCAGTTAACTCAGACAATGTAGTGACAGTCCCACACGTTGAACCACCGGGGTTTAATTCCCTGTAGAGGCAAGAGCTTTCCCTCTTATCTACCTGGCTGAGACCGGCTGTGGGGCCCAAACAGAGTCCTTTACATTTGGTATTATACCCAGGGCTCTTACCCAAGGGTAAAGCGGGCAAGGAGTGAAGCTGACCGCTCACCTCAATTTAGTCCCGAGGTAAAAAATGATTAGAGCTGTACTCCACTCCGCCTCACATCCTCATCGCGTGATGCTTGATGGCACCATGTACAGCTCATCTTATCTTTAATAATTTGGGGAAGGGGCAATCCTTTGGAAAATCGGTTCCGAGTAGGAGAGAGTAGGGGGACTTGTTCTGGTACTTCTGGTTTCCGTATTGGAGTATTTTCAAACCTTCTCAATTGAAAGACTTTCAGCGGCCTTCAGTCACCATAATTTTTTTCGTTTTATAGTGTATAAACACAGGAATCTCACCTTCAGCTTGCTTTAGTTTTCTCGTTAATTAGATATTTATTTGTCATGAGTATGTTGAACAATTCATTTTGTTACAGTTGGTATGTTATATTAGCTGTACGAGAAAATTACTAAGTATGATCTCTTATTCTAAAAATACTTGACTTTTAACTGAACAAAACGTTGTTCTGAAAACAACTTACAGCTTATGGAAGAGTTTCTGAAATTAAACCCAATAAAAATTTCGTATGTTCCCATATATGTATAAATGTTGAATTAACTCTTCTGTGACTCGTGTCATTTCTTGTCTGATTCAGTTACTTGTCTTGCCTGTTCACCAACTTAAGCCACATTCCACCTGCAGAGGTTAGTACAAGCGCATTTTTATCATATGCGAGTGGTACTTGGGTCTTCTCGGAAGGTTGCACGTCGAAATTCGAAATAATACTAATGAGCCCGACTTTGGTCTGAATTAGCCCGAATCTCATTCCTGAAACACAAAAGCCACACACAATATATTGGCCAGATGCCTCAGTTTCTAGAAACATTCTTTAAGATTTTTACAACGAATAATATTTCAAAACTTTATATATAATTATGAATATATGAGAATATGAACACCAAACCACGTGGTGTACTATGTGTTTGTAACAAATAGACCTAATTCGGGGATCACAATTGTAATCATGTGTTTTATGTTATGTTTTTGTCTTTATGTTTCAGCTACTTATTATTTTGGATATATACGTATAAAGCAACTTCCTTGAAATATGTGATATGAGATTCTCTTTCTTATGATTTTATTTTATTTCTCAAAAGTGAAACTGATGTTGTAGGCATCACATGTTGTAGCTGAGTCATCAACATTTAAAATTACTGCACAATCAAGTGAATTATCAGAAACTTGACCTATGCAGATCCTCGGTCCTTCCCCAAATGGAAGGTAGCTAAACGGCGGTCTATTCTTCTTCTCTTCTTCACTGAAGCGCTCAGGGTCGAATCTTTCAGGGTCAGGGTAGTACTTAGGATCGTGATGAAGCCCTAATATAGGTAGCAGCACTTGTACGCCTTTCTCCAAAGTGACGTCAGTTCCTCGAAGTTTGATTGGCTTTGTACACTCCCTGGTAAGGACGGTCACTGGGGGGTATTTTCGTAACGTTTCTGTAAAAAAGATAATATATTATTTGTAAAACTTTCCAATTGGATGGTCGATTCTGTGAATAGCCGCTCGATGGAATTACGTATTTGTGTCCTTGCACGCTTGCTCGTGTGTGGGCGCTCATGCACCCGTAGATCTTGGAGTGTGTACAACGTTCAACATGTTATTTAATTTTGATAGTGTTTTAATTATTGTCATTGATAACCCATTCAGTAAGTTAACTGGCTACTTGCTGTTCTCAGTGGGAGACCTGCTATTTTCTTCACAATCAGACCCCTCTGGGGACCAATCAGGTTTCTATCTTTACTCATGTACCAAGGGTAAAGCTGGACACTCATCTGCATCTAGGTTCGGTGGAAGTCAATAAGTAGATTTGATGTAAATGATCTGATATTTGTGAATTCGTAGAAACGATATAAATGAATGCGTATTGCTGATGTAAGTGAAAACATGGACGTGATTAAGTGAATCATCGTAGAGCTGTTTCCCTTTCCGTTTTGGCGGTTGAGGATTTTATTACATTATTTTGTGCTCACTGAATATGGGTAACTGATTCCACCTTTCTAATCTATACCTTTAAGGGCACGTTCACATACTACGATACCATATGTTTACGTGCCTGAATCTGATGTACTAATACTACATGAACACTGATCAGTTTCCAGTCAGCTGGGTCCCTTCGTCCGAAACAACAACATTTTAGTAGGACTGAAAGTAAAAATAGCTTTCATACAGCGATTTATCACCCATATATCACGCAGCTCTGGACATGTAGGAGGTGGATTTCTGTGACTTGTAAATATCTTTATTTCTAATTGGCTATAGCTAGTTAATAATTTCTTTTCATACAAGAAGGAACTCACCATTTACTACTTTGTCCAAATATTCCATCTCGAAGATGGATTCGTAAGTGATGTTTCCTCCATGTTTCCCCAGCACTGTATCGATTTCAGCCCGGAGTCGCTCCTGGATATCTGGATTCAGCGCCAGTTCGTACAGGCAGAAAGTCATTGTGGTTGATGACGTCTCGAAGCCGGCGAGAAAGAACAGAAAAGCTTGTGCCGCTATTACATCCATTGTTACTTCTGAAATGTAAAATACCGATAAGAATGCTGGTTCTGTAATTGAATTCATTATTTGTCTCTCGGAATTTTTTTTCGAATAAAGTGAAAACTTCCTCTTGAATTCTAATAATATTTTTGAAACCTGAACAAGGACACTTAGGAATGTTCAAAATTTTCTCAGTTGTAATTTTAAATATAAAGTCCAGCGTCTTATTGAGAAATGCAAAATAAAACTTTTAAGATACGATGACTTACCAAATGGTGCGTTACTGTTCAGTTCGTCTGTTTCTTTCACCGGGAAATTCGTATCATTATTTTCTACTGCACCCAGTGTTTTGTTTTTGAGTTGTATCATCAGCTGCATGAAATCATTTCTCTCCACGTTATTTTTTTCGCGATATTCCACAGTATCATTAACCATCTTCCGAAAGTAGTTGCTCACATCCTTTGGAATGAAGGACAGTTTCAAAGTGTAAACTAATGAAGGATACAAAATGTTTAGAATGGACGTCAGTCGTTGTCTAAAATGCGGTTCAAATACTTTTCTTCCCCAGTTACGAAAGTCAGCATTCGGGTTTTTCAGACAGTTGCACTGAATTCCAAAAGCACACAAGGATATGACGTCTGTACTGTATCTTGCTAAAAAGTCCTTTACTTCAATTGTTTCTCCGTTTCTGACAATTTTCTGAAGAGAAGTATGCAGTTCCTTGCCACATTCGACCACGCTCCCAAACATCGTCTTTATTTTCCCAGACGTAAATATTGGGGTCATTTTCACTCTCAGGTTCCTCCATTTCGGCCCAGATATTGAAAACAGATGACCGTTTAGTGGTTCAGATTCTTCATCAAATTTAAGTCCTCGCGCGAAGTAGTTTTTGAAGTCTTTAACGAGGATATCTTTCATAATATCAGTATCCCGTACAAGAAGAGACGGGTTAGTGAATCTATACAGTCCTCCTATTCTGTGGCCCTCAAAGGCCTTGTAGAATTCGGTGACTTCGTATTCAGGATTTTTTCCAAATAGCAAGGAGTATGAGAAGTTGCCAAATGGAGCTTTAGGTTTTAAAGTGAAAACACCACGTTTCTCCCAGTAGGAGTAAGATATTTTGAAGTACACGTACAATGCAGCTAGTACAATACTGGAGAAAATCCCCAGCTGCAGAAGCCATCTGTCCAGTGTCTCCAACATTTTAAGATTTACGAAGATGGGTAGAGTTCTTCAGAATTCACCCAACCTGTTTCGGGAAGGAAGATACAATATGTGAGAAATGTGATTTTGTTTGTTCGGTTAAGTTAATGTCACTGAAATAATATTTTCTTGAGCAATAATGTGATTTTGAAATTGAAGTGAATGATAAGGAACTTCTTAGAAAATCTATTATAATTGTTGTCTTCTGGGTTGCGACGCAATTTGGTCTTGAATTCCTCCGTCATTCTCACCGATGTGTAAACTTCAATCTCATATTAGTAAAAATGCAATACTATCGATACAGTAGTACGAAGTGGGACCGGTCCTAATAAATATTATTTCATAGAAGTGTCTTATTATGAAACCGTTGCAGGATTGTGAACAAGAAATTATCTAATACGTATGCGATAATAAGACGATTATTTTTAAGCCTAAGGCCACATGATGTACCAAACAAAATTCTTTTAAAGCTTTACGATTTTCCGTCGTAATTAATTTAATAGATTTATTTGTAACAGTCGTTTTCTTAAGAAATGGAACTGAAAAAAATTATCTACTGTACAGTTTATGTTGGCATCAGTAAACAAGATATAAGTGATGTTTCGTTTTGGACCGAAGTATTAAACTTTCTGTTTGTTAAATGTAATGACTTCCTCAATTCAATATTTTTTTAAAATTTCAGAAATATTTGGTTTATCGATGGATAAGTTTTGGCTAGCCTGAATTACAGACGCCTTTTGGATTTCGTCTTTATAAACATAAGCTAGACAGTTGTTTTATTTTTTAAAAATATTGGAGTTTTTTAAACTTTATTAAACGTGTGTTATACTTCGTATGCGATGTGTCTGGAATTAACTTTGCATTACTGTTATTTCGAGAAAAAAATCTAATTTGCCTTTTGAATTTCGATTTTCAACGGAATCTCGTATTAATTTTAATTGTATTAACAATATCAGATGAATAAAATTTGTGAAGCCCCTCGTTATTTAATTTATTGATTTCCGCGATGAATATGCAAATGTATGCTACCGAATTACATTTACATTCCGTAATTTGATAATATTTGAATTACGATTTGTATTATCCATGATCTGACGAACCGTTCTCTATAAATGTGACATAATAGCTGCTAATTTCAACCTACACTTTTAAAATAGAATTCGTGATCATGGAAACAAGTCAGCTACATAAAGATACGATGTTACTAGCTGCGTATGTTTGATGGGTTGGTAAAGTATGCAGTAAATGGTTTTCTAGTAATAATTTTATCTTGCAGAATGTGTGAACGTAACGAATTATAGTAATACGTTTCACTTTACTTACCTCGTTTCAGTCAATAGTCTTCGCCATAAACATGCACGCTTGCGGTCCTACTCTATTTCGTGGGCTACAGTGGGCTAGTTTCAGAAAATTAAGTAGAACTTGACTTGAGCGTAAATAAAGCATGCATAGATCTTTTTATAACTAATCCGACACTCCCACATTTGGTCCTCATGTATTCTAAATGTGTATATGTTCCGATCACTGTTTTTTATTCTACTTCCCTTATTGTATTGATAAAGCTAAGTTTATGATAGCGTGTAGGTGTTCATCCGCCCTGATAAATTTTGAACTACGCTAATAGAAGCCAGTTTACATTCATACTTTTCAATTTATCTTCATTAATAATAGCAGAATGGTGTCTATGTGTGGACATAACTTGAGTCTTTCAACATAGGGGCCTGTAATTCTGTATGGTAATGGATCTTTTATAAAAAAAATTGTATTGAGTTTGTTATTATTCTGAATCGGTGCATCACCACACGGTAGACAATCAAATTAAATAGTCTAGGCGTTCAAGAAAAAGAATATTAAGGCAATGAACGAAAAAAGAAAGTGAAAATTGTGTGGTGAAACCTGGTTAAAACTAAAAACAATTACGTTTTACTGGAAAGAAAACACAGGAAAGTTACATTTTAATAAAAAGGAAAGATTGTTATTTTAAGACTCTAAAGATTGAAGTTTTAAAAGTGAATTTTAACAATGCGTTTTGCTTTAACAAAGTTAAATGAAGTGATCAAGTGATGCATTGGTAGATTTAATACTGATGCGTGATTTGTGATGAAATAGTATAATGCTAATGCGTATAGAGGAGGCCTAAAGGTTATTATAAAACATTCGCCTTGATATACCATAGTCAACAAGGTAGTTTACACGGAAGGATAACTAGTAGAATTGTTACAAGATTTAACATGATGTTAACTACCCTTCTATAATCACTGAAAAATATACCTTCTTGAATTGAAAATTGTGATAGCTACACAAAGGTGATTTTTACGTATGATCGGACAAATTATATAAAAAGTTAAGAAATCGTTAAGCAATTTTATATTCGTTATACCTTCTGTCAAATAATTCTGTAGGCCCAGTACAACAATCAATGTAGAACTGCAGATTACTTTAGATCCTTATACTCACATACAAATTTTAAACACTGGCTACAAACTTAACATAGATTTAATTTTTAAATATTTAAGAAACCGCGAACTTACTTTGTAGTAACTTCTCTCGGTATTGAATGGTTCCCAGTTTCTGGTACGCCAGTACTCTATCGACAAAGATCGCACGTAAACGTTTATATGTGATGATACTTGTGACGTATGACCACTCGATAAGACTAATTATTTTGAATGACAAACAACGTGTTTAAAGAAAATAAATATCCGAGCGTTTGTGCTGATTTCACTTCATAATCATACACCATGACAAATCCAAAAGTTGGATATAATTGGCAGTTAACTATACGACTTAATTTATAGGTCCATTGCTTACATATGATGCATGCTATAATCCCCTGCCTGCTAATGACCCTAATTTCTGTTGTCTCTTACGCACTGTGCACTAGGAACATTTATTTCTGTCTAGCGTGCACCAAGGACTCTGAAAACAACGTATGATTCGCAGACGTAAACTATACAGGTTGGTGTATCCGTAATGTTCAAGACTTGTCTGGGCGGTAAATCTCCCAAATATCGACGAATATGTCAGAAATGTAACTGACGTTTTCCATCTCAAAACTAAGTAACTCCATGGAAGGAAGTTTTTATTGAGAATCTGATAGTCGCTAACCTAGTCAAGTAATTTTTCACCTTTTATGGGAAGCAAAGAGTATGAAGATATCCGTCTTCTGGGTTATTGCGCTGTGTCAGACTACACAGCGCAATAACCCAGAAGACGGATATCTTCATACTCTTTGCTTCCCATAAAAGGTGAAAAATTACTTGACTAGGTTAGCGACTATCAGATTCTCAATAAAAACTTCCTTCCATGGAGTTACTTAGTTTTGAGATGGAAAACGTCAGTTACATTTCTGACATATTCAGAGTACGTTTCCTCTCCGCCTTTTAGTTCATATTCTCACTCTACTTCGCTGAAATCTTTTTAATATTATCATCCCATCCACGTCTGCGACACGGTCTCTTTCCTCCAGTCTTTTCAACCAAAACGCGTCTCATCTCCCTCACCATGCGTGCTACATGCCCAGCCTTCCCATCTCACTTGACACCATGTGATGTCTGTAGCCGAATTACTGTCGGAACCTAAAGATTTATGATCATATTTTGTTTACGAACTCTTAAACAGTCAGTCAGGGTTTTTTCGTCAGCTGTTTTGCGTGACTGGGCATGTTTTGTTTTGAATCACGATGACACAGCATGACAAACAATAATTTCAACGCGCCGATCTCTGGTGGGTCAGATGATAAACTTTTGGGTTGAGAGGTTTAATGACTTAACATACTTGAGTGTGACTTAGTGCGTCTTCTCTAATAATGCCTTCACGGAGTATATTTCTTAACATTGTCTCTTCGATTGTTTGACGATGTTGTTTCAGCGGAATTGCTTATGTTACGTCTTAAGAGATAGGACAGAAGGCAAATTTCAAAATAATTCTTAAAATTAAAAAAATTCTAAACTTTATGCGTTAAATATCTTGTACCACTCCAGTAAGAGACAAATAAAATAGGCTTGAGATCAGTAAAGATAAAATGCTTCAGAACTGTTGAGAGCTATACTAGCAAAAGCCATCCCGTTGCGCCCCATGTCGGCGCACAGGGGAGATATTTTAAAGTACTGTTATTCCCTGCATGAATCCCTTAAGGAAAATTAGGCGAATCAGAAATTACGTCATTTTACGCTGACTTTCTAGGGAGCTAGGGTAGCTGAGTCATTATAGTGTCTGACTACTTACTGTAGGACCGGGCAAGGGATTTTTCTTCTAGCCACTGCCAAGGCCTGACGCCGACCACTCTCCCCATTCTAGTTCAAAGGTAAATAAAGAGTAAAAATTATATATACTCTCCCTTTAAGCGCCTCCGTGGCGTGTAGGGGGACAGCTTTTGCAATGATGATCCAATATTTATCAATTATTTTTATCTACTGTAATCATACATAAGCATAATGAAGTAAGCTACCTTTAATAGAAATTATTTTGTTTGTGCAATGGTGATACTGGTTTTCGCTGGGCTTGTAATCCTGGGGTTCCGGGTTCGATTCCCGGAGGTGCCCGGATTTATAACTTGTGTTGGGTAAGACTGTGGTCCAGGTATCACGGAGTTTTCCTCCTTGGCATCCCAACAATTACTCCATTTTCATCATCATTTGACATTAAGCACACAGAAGAAGGCAACGGCAAACCACTTCTGGATCATCTGTCTAGGAAACATATGAACAGGTCCCTATCAGAGGGAACTTGTTCATAATGTCACCGACCTGATGGTACAAAAAAAATACTGGTTTTAAAGTGAGGTGTGAAAAGGAGGTTCCACTACATTCTATCGCTTCTGTCTGTAATCTTGAGATACAACCCTCCAAGAGGAGACAGGATGAAGCTTCTGGGATCCATCACGACTTTTTCCGGGGTTTTCTCCGACACCCGAAATTCGTAGTTGGACAGCAGACTGACGAGCCCAACCTTAGTCTGCATTAGTCCGAATCTCATTCCTGGAATATAAATTATTATAATTACTGGTTGGAGAATTTTTAATTATTCCGCTGCTTACCTAACACGATATTTCATGGAACAACTTCTTACCAGTAGGCCTAGCTTCTTTCCTTGTACGAAAGAAATGTCGTCAGCAGTGTTAATCAAGCAAAATTTATTTAAACGAAAATTAATTTGATTTTGCTAAGACAATAATTAGGGATATAGTAACGTTATATTACATATATACATATGTAAATAATGGTAAATAAAATTAAATACATGGGGCTCTACTTAATTATTTTATGTATTAAGTCATTTATTACTAGCGAAAGTTAATATTTTCCTCGGTGATTTTTCTTAAGCTGTGCTCCCCTGAAACAATGAAGTTTCTTATTTATTTTGACAAGACGAATAAATATAGGCTATATTTCCTCTTGCCAAAACATGAAAAGTTACAGAATGTGCTCTTTATTTTCACGGGATTTCTTAAACTAAACTGTACCTAGAAATAAATTAATTATATTTTATTAATAAGGGACTATATTAGCATTTACCTCTGTTGTGTTATATATACCACCATGGCGCCACATAGTGGTCGCCTTATACATTACACTGTTTATTCTAAAATCTGGTTCTTGTTGCCTAGCAATCAGGACAGGCACACAGAAAATAACGGAGAAGAGGATAATGCCATACGAAAGGGTTTATATATAAGGAAATGCACACTATTTCATCTTAAATTAACATTAAACAATAAGCAAAAATGTATGTATAAAGCAGCAGTTTCATTTGACGTCGATTGGGCATGCTTAATTCGTGATGAATGTCTATAACTAAACTTTTGATGATATAGGATTTGAGACTTTCGCGGCGAGTACAATCAATAAAATCTTCCCGGGCAATGAGCCGCTTTAACTGGTAACCGTAGTGAACCGACGTTTCGGGAACATTGATTGCCCGAGAATTTTTATTAAACTTTTGATGCTTGGTTTTACGCGGTTTTGTTGTAGCGAAAATTCATTACGCATTCTGGAAAATAGATAGGTTAAATTTTCGAATTCGTCAGTTTCAAGTTGACAGATAAGGAGTAGGTAGAACTTACCTATACAGATCCTGGGCCCTTCCCCGAAGGGGAGGTAGGAGTACTGAGGTCGTTTGCTCTTTTCCTTGTCACTGAAGCGCTCCGGATCAAAACGCTCTGGGTCAGGATAGTACTTCTGGTCGTGATGTAAGCCCATAATAGGTACGAACACTCGAATTCCTTTCTCTAAAGTGGCATTAGTCCCAGGAATTCGGTACGGTTTGGTGCACATTCTGACCAATGCCTGCACTGGTGGGTACTTTCGCAGCGTTTCTACAAATCAGTACAACACCACTCCTTAAAGTCCCAGGTCACAAACTAGTTCAGTTTACGTATTATAACCTGGTATCCGGAAGATGAGTTGCATATGTACCAAAATTTACATTTTATTGTTCCTTAGTGAAACTGAACAAGTTAGCTACTCTTAAAGCGTGGTTACGTGTGGCATTTTATTACGAGGCTTGTATTCCACTCTCGTCTCCAGAGGTTAAGTTGCAATTGATAACATCCGACGTAAGAATAATCTTCTGTCATTTCATTCCGTGTGGATATATTACACATTTACCCACACACACACACAAGCATATACATAAACACAATATCTCCGGAAAAATGTATACACAATCACTGAATGAAATATACATTTAATAAAATAAACCATCACATATGTTAGCATTGACACTAAGTGTATTAGCGAATCTATTTAAGTGTTCAAAATATTCACCCTTACCTTCGTGGCACAGTTTACAGCGTTGAGGTCCATAACCAGGTAATGTTCCATATAAAGTGTGTGTGTGTGTGTATATATATATATATATACATACGTTTTCTTCAGATACAGTCGCAAAAATCAGCTTTCTTTCTATAGTGTATTTATTCTACAAACGCGTTTCGGTCCATAAATAAGGTCCATGCTACTGCCGAACTCATTTCATGAACCAACTCCTATGCCCTTTGCAACATTTTGTAACATAATACTTTTCATTATGAGGGTTAGTTAGCCTCCTGTTTAACCTCAAAATTGGTTAGACCGCCCTTGTTGTTTGTCCGTTACGATTTATTCCATTTGTCTCCTAACGTCTCCATTTACTTCCAAAAATTATTCGCAGAAATCCCTTATAATGCTGCTATTAATGCATCATACATGAGTTTATGGACCAGTAGTGGTGTGTTGGGAAGAAGGTAATCAATTTTTGGATTCCATTACTGGTGATAATTTCGTAACTAGATATATTACCTTCTCAAGGACTCTGCTCCATGGAGTTGGACAAAGGACCATACAGAACTACGTTGTTGTGGATTGATTATGATAGCTGAATGTATGATCAAGTCAAAGTCCCCAAAGGTCTACCAGTTATTAATCTTGCGTTCTTACCACTTACGACCTTGTCCAAGTATTCCATTTCAGATATTGACTCGTAGCTGATGTTTCCGTCATGTTTCTCCAGCACTGTATCGATTTCAGCCCGGAGTCGCTCCTGGATATCTGGATTCAGCGCCAGTTCGTACAGGCAGAAAGTCATTGTGGTTGATGACGTCTCGAACCCAGCGATAAAGAACACAAAAGCTTGTGCCGCTATTACATCCATTGTTATTTCTGCAACAAATACTTCGTTTCGGTTTGTTCGGGTATTTTTCATGCAAATTTAAAAATAAATTAATTTTCGAAGAAAATCAATTTTTCTTTTAACATGATGTGTTAACGAGCAGAAAGTTTGTTTAATCATGAATATTTGTTCGCATCGAAATTGTTTTCTGCTGTTCTTGAAGCATTTAACAACATGTATCCTAACTAGGAAGTGAAGAATAAGACAACAGTACGCATACTGGTAGCAGTATTTCGTATTTTATGCTTGTCTTCGAGAAGGTGGCGGACTTTTTCAGCATTTTCTGCAAAGCTGTTATGTAAGTTCTTCATAACAAATAAAAAAAATTCTTTTGTCGTGTTATATTAATGTCACCGAAACATTCAAACAATTAAAATGTAGGATTACCATTTAAATAGAACATTCTCGAAATAATGTACGTACCAAATTCTTTGCTATCCTCAGCATCCAACTCCGAGTGACCACACTTAAACGCGTCCTCATCGGTCGTAGTCATTGTTTTGTTCTTGAGTTGTATCAGCAGATGCATGAAATCATTTCGCTGAATGCCGTTTCTCTCGCGATAGTCCACTGTTTCTCTCACCATTTTCCTGAAGTAGTTACTGACATCTGATGGAATGAGTGACAACCCAAAATACTTTATGAAGCCTGGAATTATGATGTTCAGTAATCTAAAAATCTTCGTCTTGAATGTTGTTTCAAAAACTTTTCGTCCCCAGGTACGAAATTCAGCGTTCGGATTTCTCAGACAGTTACACTGAATTCCAAAAGCGCAGGATGCTATAACGTCTGTAGAAAATCGTGCTAGAATATCTTTGACCTCTAGCGTTTCACCCATTTTCGCCGACTTCTGAAGAACGGCGTTGAGTCCTTTTCCACAATCCACGAGTGTTCCAAACATCATTTTCATCTTTCCAGATGTGAATGTCGGCGTAAGCTTAACTCTGAGCTTTCTCCATTTTGCTCCGGTCATTGAGAACAAATGAAGATCTAATGGGTCTCCACCTTCGCTCATAAATACTCCACGGTCATGGAAATGAATGAAATCCTTTACGATTATATCTCTGATAAGGTCAGGTTCTCGGACGAGAAGAAATTTGTAACCGAATCCATACAGACCTCCAAGTCTGTGACCCTCAAATGCTTTATAAAGTTTCGTAATTTCTGGTAGAACTCCGGTGTTCTTCATTATTATAGGTCCAAAGTTTCCGAATGGAACTACTGGTTTGTAGACAGGAATTCCAAGTTTGGTCCAGTAAGAAAATGACGATTTGATGTAAATATATATTGCTGCTAGGGCGGCGAGTACCAGGACTCCAGCTTCAAGGAGAAATGGACCAAATGTTTCCAGCATTTTGACTTTGGGCGAAAGATCCAACCTGTTGAAAAAATATCATCACAATGTTCATGTAAGATGTGTTAAAGAGAGATGTCGCTTACAATATCTAAGTCTTCTGATATTTTTAATTTGGCGCTATTAGTAAAACACTTGTCCTGTCAATTTTATATTTCATTCTGTTAATTACGGTTAAATGCAGGAACAAATAGGCTTTATTTTTATAATTGATGCTGGGAGAGACAAGAGTAGTATCCATATGAACCATGAAGTAATTTCGTAAGCAGAATCAACGTATTGTAGGACTGTATATGTATTTTAATGTGCTGGATTTATATTTAAACTACAATATTATTTGACTGAAGTGTTTCAAAGGCAAGCATTTTCGTTTTTCAATTTCAAAAGGCGTTCATTGTGCAAAGATTCACAAAAATAAGTTCACGACCGCATTAATTACTTTCATACATCGATGATGATGATGAAGACGGTCCTGTTTCGCATTCGTGAGGGATCCGGTTAGAGTTTTATCCCACCTGACAAATGATATTAACGGAGATCAAGGCAGCTTTTTTTTAAGTCTTTGCATTTCATTGTTAATCATCGTATCACTTGACGGTAATATGACCTTAGGACCGATAAAAAGATTTTAATTAAACCAATAAATTCAAATCTTGATAACATATAAACCATTACAGTTTGTTAAATTGCATGTGTAACATTGTCTTTGATGTTGAGCACGAATATGGCGACGTTGCGAAACTTGAGGTAATGTAATAGTAACACTGACATATAATATGTCACCTCCCAGTTTTCACATCTCAAGTTATAATGTTTCGTTAAACAAAAATTGTTCTAGTGATCGCCATGATTTTATTTTCTATCTTCCTGTCGCGAAGTTTGCTGCCTCCATCATAAGAGTGCGTACTTTTCGAAATCTACCACCCAACTAAACGTAACGCCACTGCAGTGAATGACACCAGTGTCACACCCACATACAAAGTTTTGCACCGCCGACATGTTGGTATTACTGACAACGTATTTTACACATGAAAATGACTGTCTTCTTAGGTTGTAACACCATGTGTTCTGGTAGAAGTTTACAGATGTTTTAGATGTGCTTGCAGCGAGGGTTATGCCGAATGTCGGTAAACTTCTACCAGGTTACATGGCGCTACAACCCAGAAGACAGCCATCTTCATCCTTGATACACAGAGTACCTCAAACCTCACTTGTTAAACGTCTTTATCAATATTACAAGTAAAATTCGCGAGAAATATGGCCTTTTGAGAGTTTCAGTTCGTATAGGAGAAGTTTCTGTGCATTAAATTGTACGGACAAACTACGTATTTCCACTCCGATAAGTGTAAGCCTACCGCTTCGGGCCGTTGATAGGGAGGCCGATTAGGTTTGAGAATCTCGCGGCGAAGATACGACCTTGGTCATCAGGGTAGTGACGTCGTTTAGACTCGTCAATACGTATGCACCAGCGTTTCGGAGAATCATACCGTCTCCATCTTCACAGCTGTATGAATCTCCAAGCGGAAGATGGAGAAGTATGTTTCTCCAAAACATTGTTATCCACCTGTGAGTCCACACGGCGTCACAACGCAGAAGTACAACATCGGCATTAGAGAGACCTATTTCATACGTAT